AGCGTTTCTTGCGCAACAATTTTTATGATTTTACCCTTATTAATGTTAAATCATTGTCTGATGAGCTTTTTTGTTCGATTTCGCCTCATTCAAAGGCAAACACACGAATATTGAAGGGGCCTGAATTTTGATGAAATATGCAAAAGTCGTTCAGTCACATGAACAGTTTATGTCAACACATGGAAGAAAGTGAATTTCCCAAACTTTTTATGATCTTTTTCTCAACTTAAGTGATGGCTTTAACTACTCATGCAAAAGTTATAAAGATAAGCGATTGCTCATCAGAGATATTTGGGAATAAAATACCCTAATTTTACGTCTTACTCAAAACTTGGAAATGATGACCCAACTTAAGGGGGCTAAGAGGGGGGAAATCGAATCGGCGACTTTAAACAGTTTATTGTGCTTAAAGTCTTATAATGTCAGATTATCTCTCAGTGCATTCAAGTTCCAGGTGGCTTTTCTGTTTGTTGCACTGGCATCGTAAAGTTAGCTAATTAATTATGCATAAACGGGCAAAATGGCGATTTTTACGGGGGGAGCCCGGATCTCCCAGGGAATTTAATATTTTGACCTGACATTCTCTCACATAAGCTAACTCCTGATACCTAACATTTGTGCCAAGTTTGAGCGAAATCGGTGATTTGAGCATTATCACCCCCTGCCTGGTTCTGCCTGGTTTTCTCATGGACACACTCTTAAAGATCTTATTGGCTGACTAACACAATCATCGACACCAAAAGTTTGTAAAGAGGAAGCTTAGTCAACAACGACGGCAACAGGCTACGAAAGCGTCTCTTTAACTTACAGTGAATTCCCGCTGCTTAAAAACTCACTTTATCTCGCTTATTCTATCTCGTTCAATTCGCCAAATGTTGGCAAATGCTTCTGGAGTTGAATTCTAAAAGACTGTATTGAATTTCAGGAAAAGAAAGTCGTTGTCTTGTCTCGTCCTCCACAAAACGTGAAATTAAGTTCTTTCAGTCGTAGTCGTGTAGTAAAGGCAGGAAAGAATGATACACATGCAGAGTTGTTGTCTTGCTAATCTAAATCTTCTCCTTTTTTTATTTTCGTTGTCGCCGCTGTCGTCGTTACTTAAAGTACATGTTCGGTAAAATGTGCACTTGTTTTGCAAAATTGCTACAAAAAGGAGTTGAATAGCGATGTTGGGCGTTTTGCTAGCCACTTTTACACATGTCTTGGAACAATTCAGGTCATTGCAGGTTGTGAAAATTTGTCGCAAAAAGTAGAGAGTAGTTCTACTTTTTGCAACAAAATCTGTACATGTTGCGAGTTTTACCGACCAAAGGGCTAACTTTTTTTCAGCAAGTGACATAACTCCCGTGCATGGCGTGAGTCCCGCGTAATTTCATCCAATCAGAAGTCAGTATTCACGCAACTTTCAACAACCAGATTTATTGCAAGAAAGATTTGATTCGTGGGTGGTTAAACGCGCAACATGGCTATTCAACTCGTTTTGCAACAATGTTGCAAATATTCCTGCAAAATGAGTTGATGAATAGCGATGTTCTAGAACTATTCTCTCCTTTTCAACAACTTTACACAACCTGCAACAGCCTAATTGGTTCAAAATAGGTTTGATTCGTGGTTGGAAAAACGCGCAACATCGCTCTTCAACTCGATTTGCAGCCCGTGTTGCAAAAAAGTTGCCCTTCTTACCGTACCTTAAACCACTGAAATAAGATTTAAATGTTCTCCACTTTCGAGAGTGTACGGTTCGAAAAGCTACGTTTTCATACAACTTCTTCTTCGAAAAATTCAGTTTAAAACGCGTTAGTCTAGGGAGATCTTTTGGTTTCAGTTTCAATAAAAATATGATGCAAATTGCATTTCATTTTTACTCATTTTTTCAATATTAATAACTGTTTGTTTAAACGAAGGATCCAGAGTCAAACGAGAGAAAAAAAAAGGAAACAAGGGATGCATGAAGAATTGTAAAGAAAACAATGAGAAAGAGTGTAAGAAGAAATGTCAAGGCAACAGCAACAACAATAACAATAATAACAACAACAACAATAACAACAACAATAACAATAACAACAACAACGAATGCGCAGAGGAACGCGAGAACTTCAATTATGAATCAACTCAGTGGATAACAATCTTGGCGTGCGATGCAACAAGGAATTATGATGGTACTAGTACTACTCAATGTCAGCACGATCAAGGTACGATGCAATTTTTGCAAAGAGCCCTGATTAGCAAAAGTATAAAGAAAAGGTAATGAGGTGTATTTTACTACACCTCAAATAGTATTTTAGCGTCATTTGAAAAACTGGGACAACGTTTTCACATATTTGTTAATTACATAACAAAAAAAGAAAAACATTCTCCATTGTTGTTTCCTGGTTAAGGAGGCTCGTACCCATTTTTCAAGATCTTATCCCTTTGTGTTTGATGCTTCGTAACTTTGGCTGTACTGCATGTACGAAAAAGCCACAAAGTGAAACAACTTACCTAACATTGAGCTCAAGTTTAGGGTATCTTTTGTTGACATCGCGGCTTCCATAACAGAATAACGATGACATGAAATCTACAAATTGGGAATTTTCTAGAAATCCAGGAATAATCTGTTTAAATCCTCTAGTGTGCTAACAGTTAAGACCGTGGTCTTTTCCTTAGTAAGATTTGAATAAACCTATGAGAGTGGTTTTGAAATAGAAGGTTCTAAAATTTATTATCCCAAAGAATGTCAATCGTGCTATCAACTGAAAAATTTAGCTGCAACCAAGGTCACAAATAACCCCTCTGCGCCTGTGCTCGAATTTCATCAGCGATATGAAATGTGGATATGTAACAGAAAGATTGTTTCGTATTCCCAAGTTTGGATTGAGGAGGACGAGCCGACTGGACCTCGATCCCGGCCATTTACAATCCTCTCCATGGATTACGTAACAGTCAAGAGAGAATAAAGCACAGAGAACGAATCCCCCATATAGGCCCTGTACCCATCGTAACCCTCTAAATATATTTTTAGATCTTCTCCTAGTTCCGTTGTTCCCAAGAGAGCCAATAATATGCTCAATGCTGACACTTGGGCGAAGTCCCACGCAATGCTTCGCGACGCTCACGAATCAAATTGTAAACTGCAGCCGTAGGGAAACGACTAGCCTGCGAAGCGCAGACGTATTTCCGGTCGTCTCTTCTCTCCCTCCGAAAAAGAAGCGACGACCGGAAATACGTCTGCGCTTCGCAGGCTAGGAAACGACGCGTGTGTACGTTTTGTGGACGAATGTGATTTTAAGGAAGTGAGTGTAGTGAGTGCTTTAAAAAGACTGTAAAGCCAACTATGATAAAGCTTCAAATAATTCAAAACGAAGGAACTATTAGTATAAGACATCGCGCTCTAAAGACTCACTTACATCAAGAAAAACAAAATGAATTGTATCAGCGCCTGAAGAATGTTCTTGGCGTGGCTTTTGTTTAAGCAACAATTCGGATCGGAAGCACTACATTACACTACATGCAACTTGGAGAAAACAAAAGAAACTAAACTCTTTACTAAAAGGTTATTTAGCTGCAAAAAAAGCTTAAGACTTTGAGATCAAGGAAAATTTATAGTGCTTAACAACTGCATCTGAGATCAAATTAATCCTGTGCAAACCACATCGGAAACCACAAAACAATTACTAAATGCCTCATGACCTCTCAATGTCAGTCAAAGTAAGATTTGCTCAGTAAAAAATTAAAATACTCCATGCACTGTCAGACCTACGTGCTACAGAAAAAGAACAACCGCACCGCTGATCGCTGAGAAAAAAAAGTTCAGCGATCGCAGTGATCATAGCGAACTTATGGAAAACACTCTCCAGCGATCGTAGCGACAACGATCTCTGAGATAGAAAAAGTTTTATCTCAGCGATCGTTGTCGCCGCAATTGCTGGAGAGCGGTTTCCATATGATCGCTATGATCGCTGCGATCGCTGAACCTTTTTTTTCTCAGCGATCGAAGCGATCATATGGAAACCGGGCTTTACGCCCCAAAAATAACTTTCGAGGTATTACGATGTGTTTAGGGCCTATATGGGGGATTCATTCTCTGAGCTTTATGCTCTCTTGGTAACAACCTTTCTATTACGCAACCTTGTTTAACATCGTTTATAAAGCTCGAGTGATTCGAACGAAATATTCTAAGAGTGAGGACAGTTAACAATACAATATTTTGGCAGCGTCAAGGCAAATTAAAAGCGAAAGAGCGAGCAGCACTTTCGCTTGACGGGAGTCAATTGAAAATGTCTTACTTAAGAGTGATTTTCTGTAAAATTCGAACTTCGGCCTGACACGGTACCTCATCGATTTGGCTGATTTTTGGCATGTAGTCTTAGAATGGTGTCCTAAATACTGAATGCATATTCTAAGGTTCGAATTCTCGTTGGTTTCAAAGATACAGGAATGACAGTTTTGACGAGGCCTCGAGCGGCCGCCATGTTGGTGAACTGACGGAGATTTACAGTAATTAATTCTAGCCTTATCGTTAAAATAACTTAATCGTGACTCATACAGTTGCAAAGAACTATCCTTCCTCCTTTCATTTACCTACTCTTATCTGAAAATGGTTAAGCCTGAGCTACGAACGGCTATAACTTCTCACAGCACTTTTTCGGTACTTAAAAGGTACACAAATTTGGTAAAAATTGGAAGGCCAATATCACCCATGCCACATCGATTTAGACTAAGCCATTTTAACTAAACATAGTTTGTTTATAGCTAAGTTAGATTGTTGAATAAAATAATTGGGCAAATGCAACGGAACAGAAATATGATTGCATGATTGCGCAGTGGTTCAGCCACTTGGCCGCTAAAACTTCAAAACAAAATTCGGTGAATATTTGAAAAGAAAATTCTTTAAAAATTGATCGTGCCTCTTAAACCCTTTCTATCGCTTAAAAAACCCTCCCTTGTAATGTAAACAGATGATCTTTTGATTCTGATCTTGCGAAGAGCTTGAAATATACGCTAAAATGAAAATTATAAATTTTGTTACACACGGTACTAGCTCAAGTTCGCTCTTCGATTTCCCAGAACAATCGGGAGCCGCTCGTGTACTGCACAGTTACAATTTTCTCTGTAGTATTTCGCTGTATACAGCTACAAATTACATATTTTCTTAGGCAAAGATAACGCAAACGTTGTCAATTTTAATCAAAAGGCTAGAAAAACCAACCGTGCACTGTAGCTTTATGCAAATTGTATGGTATTCGATAATTACACGTGTAAACAGGAACCAACCTTTGCTAATGTACACTGTTTGGCAGATCTTTCCAGCGTAAGATATAAAACTAGTACATGAAATGAAATTAAAGAACTCATCAAGTCAAATTACCTGATCGTACCGTCATTACTGAATAATAAGTCCGCAAAATATGACATGGAATGATCGGTGGGAGACGAAGCTATTTTTAGGAGGACAAGGAACTGCACGCTGGAACGGAACTGAAATGAACAACCTCAATCAAGTTCAGTCTTCTTGACGCTATTAAACGTTTCACCCGAATTTGAACAGGAAGTTGTTTTCTATTTTCTTTCTCATTCTTGCATGTATTCTGCAGTTCGCCCACTATTTTTTCGTAACTTTTAATTTTCTAGCTAACTGGAACTGTTAAGAACTACCAACCCCCCTCCCCCCTCCCCCTCTTTGAGTGAACTTTCATTCGGTCTGATTCACAATAATTTTCGAACGGTGACAAAGTGAAATTTGAAATGACATTTTATTTAGCATTTTTAAAAGCTCCTTCTTTTTTTCCCGATAGCCAGGAATGTTTTGAACGTAAAGGCTCAAGTGGCGGTGTTTTTCACGACTCTGCTTGTAGACTGACCTCACCACCAGTACCACGGACATAAAATCTGATCGCAGAGGGTCATACAGTAACTGATGGGTCTCTGAAAAGCCAAATGCAGTCACTTTGGGGCGAGCAGGCTATATAGATGATGAACTCATTGTTTATAACCCCATAACCGTATCCCAAACGTCGAGCCAGCCCGGGGCGAGCGAACACAATTTTGGGGCCACTGGCCACGCCCTTATGTTTAGCGGGAAATTGGTTGATTAGTCAAATCTCCTTAACTCCACGACCATGCACCTTTCCAGATATAGCCCTTATCTAATCATCATATAGTTGGGACCTCCCGTAAGCATTTGCAACTATTTTGATTTGTAGAAGACTGTTTAACAGTTTTCATTACTTTAATGTCTGGTAAACAACACGAGGTACATATTCTGATCTCTCTCTCCCCCTCCCCCCCCACCCTTCCCCCATCCATAACAAAAACTTTTCAGACCAACACTGAATTGCATGAAGGTATGTACAAAAAAATATGACCATCTCGAGGCAAGGTTCATCACTGTAACTTACCACATAAAAGCCTTTTCGTTGTTTGCCATCGACTGATTCTGTTCTGAATACTAAGGTCCCATAAACAACGCCACGTTTAGAAAGAGCCCGTCCTTTTCAATCCAAGAAAACCCAAGTAGCGATTTCACCAACGAGACATAAGCCGTAAGAAAAGGACCGCGTCAAATAGTTCATGAAATCACAAACACCTCATGACACCTTTAATTCACTCTTTCTTCGATAAACTAATTTTTAATTTTTTAAGCATAAATGACATCAGAATGCGCGATTATGAGCATTGTAGCTTATGAAAAGAAAATTTAACACCTGATGCACATGAAAGCGTCTAAGAAGGGGACTAGGGGGAATTAGGAACATTGTGCTTACCGCTGGAAAAATATTGGCTAGTTCTTTGAATAGACTCAATTAAAGCCGTTTTTGTTCAGTAAGGAGCTGTTAGATGGGGGGAAAGCTACACAAAGTAGATCGCATCAGAATACGGCATAGGACTAGGCTCTCAAAATCGATAAGCCGAATGCAAGACCAATTATTATGTAAAACAGAGAAAAATTCCTTGAGGGAAAAAAATTATGGCTAGGGAAAAGACCCGAAGGTGGAAAGTTAGGATGGTAGCTTCTTTTCAGGTAATCGATCATTTACGTTAACTTCCGCTATCCGACGGGCATATCGGAAAGAGTGACTGGATGAGAGTATAACACATTCAAGAAGAAACAAATTTGTGAATTTTCACAACTCAATAAAATAACTAAAATTGTGTACTACTCGGTTATACAAGATTTTTGTTTTCAATTTCAGATTTTTACGATGGTGCATTAGCCCCCGTACTCACTAGACACTACTTAACCATCATCGTGTTAAAATCAGTGAAATACTCCAAAACAATTTGGATTCCTACCCTTATACCTTTATTAAAAATTAAGGTTGGGAAGTTTGTTGTTTTCTAAAAGTAGTTTGAACAGCCGAACGAAATTTTTTTACAAGGAGTGGGAAAGGCAAAGCTTCACTTATCTCTTCTAAGGTAGAAAGTGTCAGCAAAACGTGAGAGTCGTCCTTGAGGGTAAAGTGTCTAACCTTATTTTCTCACCGATTGCAAGTGCCATTTCATCCACGCATAACCTCACCTAGTTAACAGGTGAGCAAATGTAGTGGGGAAACGTTGCGAGAGAACTGAGTAAGATGTTAGGGTAAGTTTTGGAAATTTTCCGCACACCTGGAAAGTCCTGGCTACGCCCCTGATAGAGACTTTTGCTGGAGAGAAATTGAAACATGTTCGCTAATATAGTGACGACCAGAAAGGACAAGCCATAGGATAGTTCCAGAAAACCACCCATTAAAATAGATCACGAAGTTGTCGAGGCGGAGGATGAACTTGAAGGCATCTGATGAAGTGCAATTTTTCAAGGGAGCCCAGACCAGATTATGTACGATGGGCACAGGTTGTTTGATCTGGAAAATTTAGAGAAGCTCAAGGCAAATCGCTAGACAACACATGCTAGAGCTGAACTAAAAATCTTTTTGCGCCTCTGAACTCTGTCCCTAAGGGTAAAGGAGAAAGTTTCTCTTTATCAATGCATTAACCGAGTTGATTATGAATGTCTCCTTATGTTGGACGTCTTACTAACAAGAACATTACCACTACTTGCCCTCAGAGGCGTTTTTCAGTTGACGAGCAGAGAAAATTAGGTTTTGACTGTTTGAAATTCTGGATGCCAGAGTGAAGACGCCTTTTGTATGATGACGTCATCTTCCTACAGTAAAAAGCGTTCGTTTTTTACCACTGATATTACGTCAATCGGTACACTTATGTTGTCGAAAGGTCCGTGAGCATGGTAAATAATTTTACCTTAAACTGCAGACACATCTTCAATCACTCCTTATTGTTCGCGATATCGGATAAACACTCTGGTCTCTAACTGAATTTTCTTTGCTGTTTACTTTATTTTGAATTAGGACTGTCTTGAGTTGTCCATGCATTGTCTAGCGATTTTAAGCTTTTTCAAGGAAACAAAAATCTGGAATTGTCCCTAGGGTGAGGCATTTGCGCACAGTTTTAAAGCCCTTCGGTGGGGTGACTGTGGTTTTTGTTGTCCCGGGCTCATCCCTCATTCTTCCTAACCCCTTCCAAACCAATTTTTCTGTTTATCAAGAATCTCCTCAAAACGGGCTTCGTGATTGAGACAAAATACCTGAAAATTGTACACGGAACCGTTGTTAACGGTGTACAAGGTAGAATGAGTCTATTCATTACTTTGCCAACGCCCAATTTTTAAAACCGGAAGTAATGATGTTTATTTCAAGGGCTCATGTCTCATGAGTTTTGAGTGAATCTTCAAACGCTGTAAATACATGTAGCTGGAACTATCATCGCATCGATCCTCGCTCACTAATAATGATAACTTATATCAACTTCCATTATTTATTGCCTGGCTAAGATTTTCACGGATTCTTCAGTTCAGTTGTTTGAAACCAGGCGGCTTCACGTGAGTTGTAACGCCAGGCAAGGAACGTGACGACCCGCGATATGCGTGGGAAAATATTATTTTTTTTTTCGATCAAGGTGGAAACTGGAAACTTTGTCGTCGAGTAAGGTAATACATCTCAATTTTCATTACTATGGTTAATTTTAAAAGCTCTGGTTTCGGTAAAGGAACTGGAGGAAAATCAGGAAAATTCCTGTTCGACTGTGATGGTTGGATTTTGTTTACGCGTCATAGCGTAAATATAACAAATTCATTTTCCTTTTCCTTATACAATCTGCCTTTTTTTATACTGTTTTTCGCAGCAGAGTTATCGATTATATTACAGAGGCTAATTTTATTACACAGATCACTCAGATTTAATGACAGAAACTCTATTATCGATTGTAATTTTGGCAACACCTGGCGAGTATTCGGTGTACAGATTATTGACAAAGTCGCTAGAACAGTCTTCCATTCATTGCTTTTGTTTCTGCTCCGTTAAATTTGCCCAATTTTTTTATTAATGAACTCGATTTAAATACAAACAGTGAGTATTCAGGCAGATTGGCAAGCTTCAATGCGATGTGGCAAAAGAGATATACGCCTTTAAAATTCTGTTAATTTTGCGGGTGTAAAAAATTCAAAAAGTATACCCACCAAAAGTTTAATCGATCGTTGCGAAAAAGTTATCAATTTCGAAGTAGTTTCTAAAAATACAATAAAGAGGGATTGTTCTTTCAATCTGTATTGGCAAAGGAAGATTAGCTTTGAAGACAGGGTTGTAGTCGAAGGCTCAAAAGCAGCTTCTATTAACCAATATGGCGCCGGTCCGAGGCACCCAAAAACTGGCCATGTCGATAATTTCCGAAGTAGGAGGAATTAGAACCTAAAGTTACCTATTCCTTATTAAAGACCTCAAATCAAGTCTACATGCCAATTTTTAGCCAATTCGGTGAGATAGTGTGGCAGCGCCTTTTTAATATAGCTCGAATCTTACAGACAACTGCTCTTAAGGTTCCTACGATCAGGCTGCTCCCCCCCCCCCCCCCCCTCTTTTTTAACTGTGGAGATACCGGATATGTATAAGGAGGGCTTAATGGCAGGCTAGATAGATCCAGGAATAGAGGATTTCCGGAATTTAATGACTTATACTTATCACCTCGATATATAGGTCTCTCTCTAATCATCAGGCATATAAATAAACACTTAAAGACTTGTCGCGAGGGAAACAGTTAATTTTGTTTTCCTATAAAATCTCAGTATTTGACAAACATTGAGATTGAAGCTGGAAGTTCATTAATCCTTGCTGTAACGGCGGTCGTCGGTCAACATTCGCGGGTAACGGTGTTACCTTTCGCAATGTTACCCACTCGGAGATTTTTTTTAAACTTTCACGTGACGTTAAAGTAACCAATGAGAGCGCGCGCTGTTGGCAAACAATTGCTAGGTATATCACTTTTTTTTCACCTCAAAAGTGCCCGATTTGAAAAGAATTAACAAGTTTGACATGTTGGACAGCTGGCATTACCACTACACATGGAAGCCTCCTAAAGGAGAAAAATCTTGTTGTGTGCTACGGATAAGGTGTGTAAATTTATCTTTGTTAATTGTTCGACAAATTATTGACAAAGAAATGGACAGTCGAATTTAGAAAGATCATATAGCAGAAAAGGTAGCCACCCAAGAAAGCCGCCTAGCCCAATTTATATCTCCTAACTCGTTGACAGCTCCTATTTTAAAACCTCCCAATGTCACCAGTAATGAATGGCTCTAAAGTTTGTGATTCCTTCTTGTAGAGAGCTAAAATTTACATAGAGTGGATATCATTATGATACAACAACAACGATAACTTTATTTATTAGAGTTATAAATTGGAATTATTTTGTCATCCACAAGCAATTTTTTCGCCACCATTGCCACGCTTTGCAATTACATGCCACCCTTCGTTCTTTCACTACTCTTCAAGTGCTTATAGCTTATTTCCTTTACAGTCTATATTCAATAAGGACGTTGGGATTGGGGGGAGCTTAATTCCTCCCTTAAGCCCACATCAACACTCACTTCTCATTTAGGGAAAAATGTTGGCTTAGGGGATAGGTAGGTGGGCAGTTAATTGATCCGAAATAACAATGGAATTAGATACTTATGGAGCCTCCTGTTGCCATTTGATTTTGCAGATACCAGTTCGAGCTCGAGGGCGGTGAAGGGAAACGGTAAGTAACAGGCATAGACTTTTCTGTACAACCATCTTTAGTTTTCATTGGCATCAACTCTGACTAACCAGGGTACTTCAAAAGCTCATTTAAAAATATCTATACAAAGGAATTTATTGATCATAAAACTTTAAGTCCAATTTCCTTAGGCAAAATAACCCCAAAACTGAATATTAGTGCAAGTTTTGAAGCGGTTCAATAAGCTGAAAGTTCGTGGTTTGTCAAGTCTAAAACACTCTCATTTGCTCATTTGTTCGCCACTGAGCTGTCACGATTACGGCTCCAATCTCTTTTTCAAGGCCCCCTTCGAAAAGGTCGCTCAGAGGGATTTTGCTAGTTCAAGTGTTTTTAAACACTTTAAACTTTTAAAAAAGTTTAGGGAAATCTGCCATTTTGGTCGTAAAAAGGACCTAAAAGAGCTAACAGACGCATCTTATGGCTGTGAAAAAGACAAAAAAAACGTCCTGGTTTAGTGATTTATTCATATTTAAAAGACGGTGCATTCAGTCCAGCAGTTAAAGGGAATGCAAAGTTTTTAAATAGTTATGTGAAAGGGGCACCATTTGTTATAGAAGGTATAACGAAATGGGTACCTTTTCTCTCAAAAAATAGTATATGAAAGGGTAAGGGGTTGGACCGCTGGTCGGAGCCTCCCCTTTTGTTAGGCCTTCTCCCCCTCGGGTAATAGCTATCACTGCTTAGCAGTTAAAGTTGTACATGTCTTCGATGTCTGTTTGAAGACTTAGTCAAGAAGCAATTTTGTCCTTCAACCTTTGCTTTCGTCCTTTTTTTAAAAGCCTTATACTGCATGCTTTCTCCTGACTCCCACACCGTAGCTAAAAACTGACAAATCCGCTAAATAAAAAGTACTAATAGCACCCTAACTTACGCCAAGGAGTCCTTTTTTTCTGGAAATTACAACACCGATCAACAATTTTGTTGAGATGGAACAACCACTGTGTCAGTTGTAATTACGGTAATTTTTTTCTCTCGAACTCTAAAATTTCGTCTGTCTTTGGTCCAGTCCGGGAAAGCTTTACTGAGAAGATCTAAGCAAGAAGACAGCTCAAGTTTTAGTTCCTTCAAGAGCCATTACCGATTTCCACTATCAATCGGCTTTGTAGCTTATTTCCTCTTCTATTCATCTTTTTTCGTTCAATGATCTTTTTTCAATTCCCTGAACACTTTTAAACGACCGTAATACAATATTTTCGTCTGGTCACTGGAATTGGTCTCAGCTCACCATCTTTTTTAATCAGCAAATATGCATTGTTAAAACATTACGTAGTTGCTGGCCATTCGATCATGAAAGAAAACTCTCCATTCGGTATCGGCTTTTAATCAAGGAAAAACATTTCCTATTTATTTATTTATTTATTCAATCATTTATCTGATCGACTTTGTATTTATTTGGCAATTTATATTCCTAGCACCTTCGAGGACAGATCACATGTTTTCAATCTGGTCCCACAAAACCTGAAAACCAGCCAACCTATTAAATACATCCTGGGAATAGGAAAGAGGGGAAATATTGAAGAAGCTTTTCCTTCCATGGAATACCGTTTTGTTCCCGAAAAACTAACGGTCACAACAGATCAGTACGTGTGTTTCGCGTGGGCTGGTAAGTCAGTACATCCATAAAGCCGAAATGAAAACATGCCAGGCCGGACACATAATCACTCTTTTTCCCCTCTGATATTTCCTTTCTCATTTTTCTATTGTATACCATTCACTGCTAGGCGACCTTCCAAATAAACACCACTTGGTTACAGTTTTCCGTCAATCAAACGATGTAAACGCACCGGTAGCAAGATTTGTTTTAAAAAGTAAACAATTTGCTCTTACAATACGTAACTTTAACTGAGGACATCTGGCTTGGTGGCTGTATGAAAATTTCCGCGAGTTCAGCTAATCAATGTTGAGGGGTTAATAGGCCAATTTCGTGTTGCCCCAAGCCTCTGCTTCAAAGCGAGGCTAACTTCCTAGTGATCCCTAATCAGTTCATTAAAAGCTATTAAAGTGGTTTTTTATTCTCATGCAAATAGAACTCATTTTCAGAAGAAACGTTTTGCACCTAGCCTCGTTTTGAAAAAGAAGGGTTTTTGGAACTCGGAAATGGACTATTAGTTTAGAAATCCAACAGCAACAACAGGCCCTTAACTAGACAGTCGACTCTCTTTAAGAGGGCCCGTTCATATGAGCCCTTCGTGGGCCTACACGGTCAACCGGGCTCATATAAAATGGCCCTAAGACGGACAGCTTTGGAACCGGCACTCCGTGTCCGTCTTAGAGAGATGTCCGTCTTACAGAGAGTCAAATAAAGGGAGTAAAGAAAAGCAGGGACCAACTCTGGGCATCCGTTTTACAGAGGTGTCCGTCTTATAGAGTGTCAAATAAAGGGAGTAAAGAAAGCCAGGGACCAACTCTAGGTGTCCGTTTAACAGAGGTGTCCGTCTTAGAGGGAGTGAAATAAAGGGAGTAAAGAAAGCCAGGGACCAACTCTGGGTGTTCGTTTCACAGAGGTGTCCGTTTTATAGAGAGTCAAATAGAGGGAGTAAAGAAAGGCAGGCACCAACTCTGGGTGTCCGTTTAACAGAGGTGTCCGTCTTATAGAGGTGTCCGTTAAGAGAGAGTCGACTGCATATTGATTTTTTTCTCTTATTTTTCCATGATATTTTTCGTCATGTTGAATAAAAGACTGTCATTGTAAGAACGCTCCATCCATTTGTCTCTACAGGATCCAAACACCATAGGAAGGGAAATGATGGAAATGGTGGTAAGTACCCGTAGAATTTTCAAACGGTTATTTTGGCTCCAAAAGTGAATTTAATATTTTCAGTTCAAAGTAATACGTTTTGAATTTTTAACCTCATGAATTTAAAAGCGCTCCCATTGCCAAAAGCCTCGCACGTAACCGTTCTTGTCTCCTAAAGCAACTCTTCTGGAGAGTTAGGTGACAGGACAAAGACGGCTAATTGTCAATGGAGTTATTTTTACCTTCCAGACGTAATAAAACTAATACTTACACCCACTGTAGTCTAGTTGACACTTAAGGTAATTCCCTTGAAAAGGACGTACTATCCACATTTTTTTCAAACTTGGCACAATTGTCAGCCATATATGGGACATTCAATAAAGAGATGGGGTGACTTTGCTTGTTTTCGCTCCGGCTGTCTGCCTGTTATTCTGAGTGTCTTTTCCTATGAGTTCGAAACTTCAACAACCGTGAAAAATTGTTATCATATAGCATAAAATATGAATCTTACTAAAACTTAAAACCCGTTTGTTTGTCTGGGCTATAATGTTTCAGTAAAATGGCTTCAAATTATCCGATCTTGAAAAAAAGAAGAGAAATGGACAGTTTTAACATCATCTCAGTCCTACTTCTCTGTGGCTCTAGATGCCGTGTTACACGTCATTCCTATCCAAAAATTTACAACTTCTACAAACTAGATTTTTTTTCTGTAATTTAAGATATATTTCTTTCTGTGACCCCAACGAATAAAAAATACAAATAAAAAAGGGGGCACCGTTGTCGTTTTATCGCAAAAGACAACAAAGGGACCATTTCGGCTGGCTTCAAATGATCATTTTTCGCGAAGGAACTGGCGCGAGTTTCAAGAGAAACACCTTATAATTTTTAGCCGTGTAGAGTTATCAAAATCGCTATTTAAACCATTTTGATTATAAAAGGGGCATTTGATACTGTTTTTGCGCCCGGTGAAAGTCATCGCCACCTTTAAAGTCGCAATGTTGTGCGCAGTAGGTGAAGCGCAGTACGAAACAAGAGAATTACCTTAAGTCCCTTGATTGATCGAGCTCCTGGGGCGTTGTGTAACTAAGGTTTACATAAGGGGGTTTATACCCGGGCGGGGAGGGGGGAGGTGCTCGAAGAATATTTGGTTATAGATGAGCCTCTGATGGTTTGAAATCCTGACCCTGTTTAGAACAAAACAATCTTAAAATGTATACCCCGTATAGGACACCGGGTAAATTACTATCCGGTGGATAAATTTTGTTGGCCACTGGATAAAGATTAATTCGTTAGATAGCGCTATCGAACTGTACTTTTGAACAGCGGGGGCCTGAGATGGTCTAGGGCTTGCTGACTGTGGAACTTATGTCCTCGAAAATGTAAACTTGAACGTTCAGAGGGATGGTTAAACAACGTTTATTTATTTATTTATTTATTTATTTATCCTAATGTACAATCATCGCAGAATTTTGAAAAAATTTGCACCTTAAGATCCGACGACGGCGACGGCTACGGGAACGCCACAAAAGCAATAGGCTTAATAAGCAAAACAACAATTTTGCATGCGCATCACGCTTTTTTGTACATTTCTTTGCCGTCACTGCACGACTACGACGTGAAAATGCCTAATTTCACGATGTACAGAGGAAGTACACAAGCGACGACGAAATTTCCTCCCTCTTTCTGAACTTGGATGTAGTTCTTAGGAATTCAACTTTAGGAGGGTTTGCCTCCATTTGACAAAGTTAGTGACTTGGAGTAATCGCGATGAAGATTGAAAGAACGCGAATTCACTTTTTACGCGACGTTTTCTCTGCCGTCGCCGTCCTCGGATCTTAAGGTCCCTATTCATTGTTTAGGACGGGATTCAAAATGGCTTCTCGTTTCGCGACAGTTTCGAAAGATTAAATTTTAGGGGTAAATGAAACAGCTCTCTCGCGCAAACAAATACCAAGAACGAGACAAAATTTGGCTTGTCGGTGTCAGTACTGGTCGGTAGAAAAAAAAAATTCTTACTGAATTTGCGACAGAACCTTAAAAAAAATGATCCCCGAAACACAGTCAATTGAAACGTAAACAAACTCTTAACTTAGTGACGTCCTTTATTTACAAAAAGTTCGTTTTTTTATTTTTATCCAACTGATTTGGTAAATACTAAAACAACTATCCCCCTGTGCAGGGTCGGTTCATAGCGCTAAATATATACCTCGACGCTTCGCGTCTCGGTATATGTCACCACTATTCACCTCCCCTTCGGGGGATAGTTGTATATTATTTACTAAAACAGTGGATAGCGTTTTTCGTGCGCTCTAATTGGCTACTCAATCAGTGAATATCCGACGCTATTCACTGATTCACTTCCAGTTCCTCCGAGCGAGCGACGCCAAACTCGCGTAAGTTACGAGCAAAATGGGTTCCCGGTTTGCTGCCGTAACAAACAAAGAAATTTCACAAATAATCAAGCAAGCTGTTCCCGAAATACACGAAGAAGGTGACGAAGTTCGGTTTGGAAGTTTTAACAAGAAAAGCTTTGTCTTTTTGACTTGAATTTATCGATGAAGGTTACTTTTTAGGTTACTTTATTTAGTTGACTTGTTCATAAATAAGCTTAAACCTAAATTTAATAATCTTTTTTTACAATCACAACTCCTTTTGAAGAAATTTCCCTGCAAGAGCTAAACAAATTCCTTCAAAAGTTTTATTTGTCGGCAAGAAAAATCGACGGCCGCGGCCTTTCGGTCATTGCGCGCCAAAATTGTAATCGTTGGCAACAGTAATTGAGTTAAAAATCATCATTTTTGTGCTTAATTATCTCACTGTTTTAGTATATACTAAAACAATTATTCACCTCAGTGTCGGTGGCTAGTGGCGAATAATTAGCGCCGCGACCACCATTTCGGTGAATAGTTGTTATCTATTTTTAATTTATTTATTTGTTTCATTTTTAATTTATTCCTTTTAGATTTTGTCCTAAAACATGAATTTAACAAATGAATCTTACAAACCTTTATTTTAGAAAACCGGGATGCCATCAATGTTTGTTTTGTCGAGATGAAAAACCAAGAAGATTGTCATTTTGTCGTGCCGCCTGACGAAAGCTGCGACAGTTTGTCTATTCGTGCATCGGACAACACTGGTATAAATGTCATGTTAAACAAAGGATGTGCTGAACGTGGCTCTAGTCAGCTCCTTGACAACGCACCACCGTCCTGCAATGTGCCTTGTTTCAAGATCAGAGAGCGGGGGAAATACTGTTATATTTCTACGCGAAACAGCAATTTCTCGAACAGGGAACACCGAGGAGAAATTACTGTGAATTGAAATTGAAAAAGAGGGTTCCTTGAGTTACGTTAGTATCAATAACTTTTTTTTTTCAAAGTGAGTTTAGTTCTGTCCGTCTGTTTCATTGTTTTTCTTTATTTTATTCTTTCTTGAGCAAAAGTAGAATACGAGTAGGCCTGTCCAGTTGTTAATCGACAACTCTCCTGCATACTTTAAATTAAGCACGCAGTAACCTTTAGGAAAACCTAGGAAATTACTATGATCTGTAATAACAAAGATCGCAAGGTACAAGAAAGGGATGTTCGCAATGTCTGTGCTTAGAAACTGTTCATGAGCAACTTTTGCGTACATTTTAGGGACAATATGGAGTAATATTTCTTCAGTTTATTAGTACAATCTGGATAGACCTTGTTTACGACTAGTCACTTTCCTTTTTGGTTTTCTAAGAAAGTAAAGCCAAGGAAAAGAGCGCGACAAAACGCCTTTCGTGAGGAGAGATTTCGCGCGCGTCTCACTACCTCTACGCTTTTCGCCTCGGTCGCTGAATCGAGAGAAATTTGCACCAGCTAAGCAAAATATACTGCACTTTAAAGCTTAAGTTCTCACGTTCACGGTTTCAAGCTTAATATATTACCAATACCCTGTGAATTTAGTTACAAAGCGTTTTGACAGTTTACTAAAAAAAAAGGTTCTGGTGTTTATAACTTTCGCCGCCACTCATTAACATAACTGTACTCGGGCGTGCGGAAACATCTTCAATGAAAACTAATTGTTTAACACATCTTTGTCCATGTTTCCACTTAATAGTAAATGAAATCAGAGCAAATGAAGCGAAAAAAGTCTCAGATGTGTGACCGCAGCGAACTTAGCTTCTACTCTCTCTTAGACACGTAAAGGGGCGTATGTTACGCTATTTGCTATTTTGTTTTAAAAAGCTAAAACTTTTTTTCGCATCATTTCAATTCAAAAAATATAAATGGTCCAGTTTTGTTATTTAAGACTAATTCTATATTTAGGCTGTAAAACTGTTTCCTGTCGTCTTTTACTGTGTATGGCAAGGATGGACATGAATTGAAACTTCAAAAAGTTGGGCCAACTTTTTCAAGTTTTAATGCCATCATGCCTGCAAATATCACGTTAAAAATTATTATGGTTTGTGCTCCCTGATGAAGTTTACTAATATTTTCTCCATAACTCTACAGGAGCATTTTGTGTATTGGTGAAGGGGTATCAATTTAGGCTTCTGAAAAACTGCCCACCTACCCCTCCCCTAAGCCAACATTTTGCCCTAAGTGAGAAGTAAGTGATAATGTTGACTTAGAGGAGGGGTGGGTGGTTAGTTGCCCAGTAACCTAATTGATCCGCGTCGTGCGCCGACCAATTCCCAGTTGCACACATCCCATGATTTTGTTATTGATACGCTTACTCAGGAGCCCTCAGTGATGCCTTTAATTTTCGCAGGGCAGCGCAGAATTTAATGCCTTGTCCACACGTGTCGGGACATCTTTGAAAACAGCGATTTTTTTCTCGGTTTTCGAAAAAGTACGCGTACACTCGTAGCGTATTCGAGTCGTTTTCGTCAAGTCAAGTCAAGTCAAGTCAATCTTTATTTAAACACGGTAAAATCCATCAGGAATTTAAAAAATTAAAAATAACCTAACTATCCTAAACAAAATTCAAAACCTGACTACAACTAATCTAACTAAAACCTGTTTTTCATGAATGCCGTGTATAACATTAAAAATGAACATTAACTAATCTTTTAAATTGACTAAGAGATTCGGCTTCTCTCACATGACAGGGTAGGCTGTTCCAGAGAACTGTTCCGCTATAAGTAAAGCTGTTTTTCATGAAATTAGTTCGCGGAAATGGGACAAATAGTTTGTTAACAGAGTCCCTCAGGGAGTAACGCGTTTCATTTCGTTTAACAAACTTAGATGATAAATATTCAGGAACAAGGCCATTTAAAGACTTGTATACCATTATGGATTTCTGTATTTGAAATTGAGTGCTCAAGTCTTTCCAATCGAGTTGTCTAATCAAACGGTTAGCATCAGCATCATAGCTAGAGAAGGTTAAAACGCGAGCGGCACGGTTCTGAAGCTTCTGTAGCCTGTCAAATAATGTTTTACCACAATTACCCCAGACAAGATTGCAATAATCGAAATGAGATTGAATTAGTGAGTTGTATATATAGTGAAGGGTAGGTGGAGGGACAAAAGGTCTAATTCTTTTTATTGCTCCAATTCCGGAAGCGACCTTTTTAGATAATTTATCAATGTGTGTTTGCCACCGTAGATTTTCATCAATAAATATTCCAAGCGATTTGACAGAGGAAACGTGTTCTATCGGAACATTATTAATCGAGAGCTCAAGTGGGTTCGACAAAGTACTCAATTTTTGTCTGGAGCCAATTAGCATGAATTCAGTTTTAGAAGTGTTCAAAGTAAGTTTATTGGAAATAAGCCATTTGTTTAGGTTATCTAAATCGTGACTCAGAGTTAACTGTATTGAATTCACATCAACGCCAGCATAAGTAATGTGGGTGTCATCGGCATACATTCTAGGCTGGCACGAAGTAAGGCAGTTTGGCAAGTCATTAATATAAATAAGAAATAAAAAGGGGCCAAGGATTGTTCCTTGCGGTACCCCACATTTAAGAGAGCAGATTCTAGAAAGAGAACCGTTAACAAGACATCGTTGTGTACGATTAGTTAAATACGACCTAAACCAATCAAGAGCTGTACCTTGTATTCCGTAAAGGTTCATTTTAGCTAGAAGGATATCGTGGTCAACGGTGTCGAAAGCCTTTTTTAAATCGAGGAAAACCACAGCATTAACATTGCCACGATCAATATTAAAGGCCCAATTATCTGTAGCTTCCAGAAGGGCAGTTGCAGTTGAGTGTAACGAGCGAAAACCCGATTGATGATTAGAAATGATATCTTCATTGGTCAAAAAGTTATACAACTGATCATAAACAATCCTTTCAAACACTTTAGCTATAACGGAAATGACTGAAATAGGTCGATAATTATTCAGATCAGATGGCTCACCTTCCTTGAACAACGGAGTAACTCTAGCACATTTCCAATCATCAGGAAATATACCAGAGACTAAAGATTTATTAAAGAGATCACATAGTGAAACTGAAATAAGATCAGCACATTCACGTACAATTTTAGCAGAAATATTATCAAGACCAGTTGCTTTAGATCTACATAATTTGTTTAGATGTGAGAAAACAATGCTGCAGTTAGTCGAGGAGAAGCTGAAATTGTTGTTATTTACCTTTATATTATTGATATAACTTGAATTATTTTCAGCAGTTAGAGGTATTTCATTAGCAAGTCTGGGCCCAATTGTTGAAAAATGGTCATTAAAAGCATCAGAAAGCTCACTAGAATTAGAGATAATGGTATCATTCAATTTCAGTTCTTTCACCGTTGTATTATTCACACGACGGGATGTAAGCTCATTAAAGGTTTGCCACGTTTTTCGAGGATTACCCTTAGATTGAATAAATGCATTAGAATAATAAGATGCTTTAGAAATTTTGATGTCATTGTTTATTATATTTCGCAACTTTTTGTACCTTTTCCAATCGTGTGGATCATTCGATGTAATTGCTTTTCTTTTGGCAGCATCACGATCACGCATGCCTTTCTTTAATTCTGAATTGATCCAGGGTGCTTTATTTGTTCTAGTACGTCTAGTTCGGAGTGGCGCATGAATATTAACAATATCCAAAAACTTCGTTTTCCAGTCAGTCCACAAAACATTTGGATCTTCAGAAACATTACAGGACCAGTCTTGCTGAGCGATATCGTTACGAAAACTCTCTCTATTAAAATTTTGGAAATTTCTATAAGAAATGGTTGAGTGCCCTTTTGAAGGAAAAGTGAGAGATAATTTCCTATAAACGTAAATAAGGCTATGATCGCTGATACCAATATGAGAGACTCCGGAACAGACTACCCTGTCAGTATAGTTTGTATAAATTAAATCAATTAATGTACTAACCCTAACACTTAACCCTAACCACTTAAAAAGGATAAGCCGGCATTTTCAAAAACTCCTCTTTGGGTGCAGTTTTTGAAAACCTGTGTTTTTTGTGGCCGGAAAACGCCGTTTACGTGTGGATGGAGGGTTAAAAAAGAGAAAAAAATCTTCGTTTTGAAAAATATCCGGTAACGTGTTTAGAAACTTAACACTGGAGAGCGAAAACGTTTGCCAAATTTGAAGACGTAAGAGTAGCTCATTTTCAATCCTGTTTGTTGCGAAGGTAAATTTTTTGCCATTTTTTACCCGGCAACAACTTATTGCCTCCCGGGTAAAGACACATACTTTTTGCAGTTAACAGCGACACTTCGCGTTCTTGTGCGTCCAATTTTCTGCTTTCCTCCGACATCTGTTCCGACGCAGGTATCCTGCGTGAGGACAGAGGAAAGCCCCTTAAGTGCCACAAACAGGCGTTTGAAATAAACTTTCAGGCAATGCTTTTCTTAAAAGGTGCGGCAATAGACACTAAGAATATCGCTGTTAATTCTGGTTCTGGGAAGGGTAGTCATGGTAAACACGGGCATGTCACATGACACCTAACAAGATAATTTTATGTACGACTTCATTCTACCAGAGTAAACATTCTCGCGAAAATTAAAGGCATTCAATTTACATTATCACTAGTAAGAGTTTTAAGAAGGCTCTTGCTGGATTTATAATAATTTATTTGGGATAAAGGTATAAACTGGAAATCCTTTACGGACCAAGCTGGAAATAGTTTTAGTTTAAGCCGAAGAAATACAAATTGGGAGAAACAGGGGATTTAAAACAGCACATACAGACAAATATTTAAAAATATTTTGTTTTCAATCGTTGTTGTTTGTATGTGGGGGATAACAAATACAGGGATCGAAAGACAAGTAGTGGATAAGATAAGAAATAGGTTCAACCTATCAAGTTTAAGTTTAGTTTATTTCGCACTATTCAAGTTGGTACAGTATAAGATAAATGATGGCGTACAGAATCAGTAGGTTAACAAATGATGAAAAGTAAATATAATATACAGGTTTGTTGATATGTGCACAGTGACCAAAGTAGCCAAGCTTGCTTATCTTATCCACTACTCAGTTGTCTTTTGAGTTCAAAACAGTTTTTCGGACAGTGTAATTCTTGCACGGATATGATATTTAAAGGGAATGGGAAATAAAAAGTAATCAAGATAAATTCAGTTTGATAGTAATTTATTGGACAAGGGATTATAAGTTGAGGTAATCAAAAGGCGTAAATCATTTAACAGTTGTATGTCATTAAAGATATTAATAAAATGAGGTATTTAAGGGAAAACTACGTCCTGTTAATTTTGATTGTCTGTTTTTCGCTGGATTACAGTCATGTGATGTAATCAACATTCATGGGTAGGAGATATCAGTCGTTTTAAGATTGTTGTCGCACAAGCTTGAGTTCGCTCTAGGGCGATGGGCATCCCGATTCTGGAATAAGGAAAATTTTTCTCGTGGAATCCGGAATCCTTGGCTTTGGAATCCGGAATAAAGCTTACGGAATCCGGATTCCACTAAAGATTGGAATCCAGAATCCAAGTTCCATTGACAAAGGGTGCGTTCCTTTGGGATGATCCGGATCAGGATCAGTGATCAGAGATCACTCGGATCATGGTAGATCAAATGAATCGATGAATCCTTGTCCAGAGTGGATTCATCGGTTCATTTGATCTGACATGATCCGAGTGATCTCGGATCACTGATCCTGATCCGGATCATCCCAAAGGAACGCACCCAAAGACTTTGAAATCCATTACCTGGGATCTGGAATCCGTGGCGTGGAATCCAGAATCTTGGATTTCCTTATATGGGGCGATAGAATCTAGATCTAAATGAAAAAACAAATCACAAACAACGTGGTATCAGGGTTCGAATCCCCGAAGCGCGCGCGTGTGTCTGTATTCGGCTTACTAGATTTTCAGTTGCCTCTCCCCAATAGACCTCTTTAGCTTGTAAGTTCTGTTTTCTCATTAGAGGTCCCAGGGGAACTTGACCTTTTGTCTCTTCATAAATTATGCGTAAATATGCACGTGAATAAGGTGTAATTTGAAAGAAACAGTTCCCTAGAGTATTATCACATGACCTGTATTGGGAAAACAAAACATACAACATGAAGAGGTATATTATGACTAAAAAAACGTCTTGTTTATTTGGAATCAATATCCCGAGAATTTGCATGAATACAAGTCCTTGAACCATTTAAATGTAAATTGGACCGCTGCATCCCAGCTTCTTTGATTCTTTACTATAATATTTAGATCACAGATTTAATATCTCTGATGGTTATTGATATATTTAAATGCACGGCTAAGCGTGCGTTAAACAAAAATGTTTGATGTAAACCAGTGCTTGTAGCTGATGAAGTTACTTTACAATTCGGCTTGTGCGAGTGAGTGAAGAAGGCTTGGAACCGAGCGCGATAGTGCTAGCACCGCTGGTAAAAATGGCAGGTACCGAAAAACTGTTCGACGAAAATTTTCCCTTTTTTTTCGTGAGAATCATGGAATTTTTCAGATGCATGAGTCAGATATATCCTTTCGCAACATTTGTGACTCTTTTTAAATGGGAGAAACAAACTGTGGTGACCGTTTGTTTTCCTTGCAGAAGCGCCGCCATTTGTGACTTTAGCGATTATTGTTACGCCTCCTAGGAGAAGACCATTTTGCAGGTGTGGGCTTAGTACTCTAGCCTTCGAGTGAATGTAAGGCTTGGTCTGACCATGTTTTGATATAAATCGCATTTGTTTGTTATGGAACCCGCCCACTCCAAAAACCGTTGTTATGGGTGTATTTTGTCCTTGGTTATCATCGTGTTTACCTTTGTGTTTACGTCATTATCATACATTACCTTTCCTTAAAAACAAAGGAAACTAAAGGAAAGAAACTAAAATTCGGCTGCAGGATATATTCTTTTTTTATAAGCACCTAACCCTTCCAGGATAAAGCAACAACCATTATCAAAAAAATAAGACCTCTTTAAAACTGCTGTCATAATTTATTTATTGATTTAATAAAGCGATCAAATATGCTTATATTTTATATTAGCATTCACCAAATCAGTGAATAGGAATTTTCGCGCGTTTTAATTGGCTCCCGTAACTCGGAATATGCTGGCTTTTCACTGTTTTGCGACAGGAGCCAAGATGGCGTCTTGCTTCGAGACATTTTCGAAAGACAAAATTTGACTGATAAATAAAGTAGTCGTACAAACAAATACCAAGAAAGCGACGAACTTTGGCTTTTCCTTGTTTACTGGTAGGTAGAAAATTATTTTCTTGCTGAATTTGCAACAGAAACGCAAAAACGAACTTGACAAAATCCCCGAAAAGTTTCTAAATTAAACAAACTTCATAGTAAGTGACTTTTTTAATTTACGAAAAAGTTACTTTTTTTTCGAACGGATTTGGTAAATACTAAAACAACTATCCCCATCAGGGTCGGTGAACAGCGCTAAATATACCCCCCTCCCCAAACGTACAAGGGAGCTTGGGCAAGAACGTTTTTGAGCGACGCTCGTCAACCGGAAGTGTATTTTTGTGCATTCTTTGGCAGTGGTTTGGCTTACATTTTCGAGCAAATCGTCTCTAAAGAGTAAAGGAAGCTAGCAAAACAAATTTGACAGCGTCAAGGCATATTATAAAGGAGAGAACTTCACTTCCGGTTGTGGTGGGTCGCTCAAAAACGTCGCTACTTAAGCTCCCTAATAGTAATGTACGGGGGGTATCCTATTTGCTCGTATTGATGTACACCAAGTGCAACTCTCCTCGGTCACATGGAGGCTTGAGGGAGGAAAAAAGAAAGATGGCGGGGGACGATGGAGATTTTCTATCTTTCCATTGTCCCCATTTCGCGTGCCATTGCTAATTATTTTTATTTCATTGCAAAACCCAATGGCAACCTCTTCGGGGATCCGCGATGAAATAGCCGTCAGAGGAAACGAACTTGTTTTGTTAGACGGGTAAAACACGCGCGCTCTCGTGAATATCACACACACTCGCGTACTTCATGCGTTTATTATCCCTAAGTGAACAAAAAGTAAATATCACTATCAGGTGTCACATTAGTCTCTTTCTATTCCTCTCAGGCCCCGATTGTGACGAAAATACAATTAGTCCTTGCATTATAAGTGATAGTTCAGTCAGGCAGGTCAGGAGAAATGAAATGATATTTCGCTAACTTTTTCAATAATTTTGTAATTAACGTTAGAAACGGGAAAAAGGAATTTCAAATGCCAATAATCTTATTCCCAGCCTCATTGGTTACAGCATTTTCGAATCTAACCTCGAGGCTTTTGGATTAGACCAAGAGCAGTCGCTTAATCATAACTATAACAAAATTCTTCAATCTGATTGGCTATCAACTGCCCTGATTTCAGCCTTAATAGGACAGTTAAATACGACAGTACGCGTTATGCCTACGTAATTGGACAGTACGCGTCATCACGCGCGCGCTTAAATGGCTTTTTTTTCACTGCTAGCAAAAAAATCTCGGAGTTTCTTGTGTTTTGATTAAAAAAAAGAGCCTAATGTATCACAAATGTTGTTAAAGTTATGATTAATTGGTGACAGAACTTCGTGTCGTCCAATTCGGTCTGTAATCATACTCGTGATTTAACAGGTCGTCCGATTTTGTTAATCACTCGTATGATTACAGACCGAATTGGACTCCACTCAGTCCTGTTAACATTACTTATTTTCCTCAGATGAGCGCTGACCCAGGGTTACATTTTTATCCAGGTTTCGTCTTTTTTTGTTCAAACGCATTTTCACCTATAATTTTCTCTAGTCTAGTTACAGAGCATCCTCCCATCAATAAAATAGTAGACAAAAAGAATTAAACTGAATTTGATATTTAAGCTTTCATATCTGAATTCAAATTTCAGACTAATCATGGGTTAACCCTTAAAACGCAACGATCAAAATTCGAATTTTCCTTTGTTGCCCCTCTTCATTTCCTACAGAAGTAGTGGGCAGAAGTTGATAAAATATCAAGAAAGTTCATCTTGTGTGTAATATCTGTAATTCTCATGACCACTCTGTTTTACAAAGCATTGACATTAAAAGGGGAAAATGGATGCTGATCACTCTTAAGAGTTAAGCCAGTTTTAAACAATCCGGTTCGAAACAGAGCCAGAGAAATACGCAAGCGCGGGTTTAAATCGCCTCCCGCGTGGACAGGCGCGATGTCCACGAGGAAGGGACAGTTTCCATCCGGACATTGATATAACACTGGTATTTAGCTCACTCCCAAACAACGCTTCCGTCTAAAAACGTTCATAAAAACCCAAATTTCATTTGGCAAAAATAACAAGCCACAGCGCATAAAAAGTATTGCTTCAAACGGAAATATAACTGGTTTCTTTTTTACTAATATTTACAATTTTTGCTGTCATCCATGGAAACAAAAAATAGAAATTTGACTAAATGAGGAGCATTCCTATTTGGGAGTAAAAGCAATGTCCACTTGACTGATTTAATTAATTACATACTTAATTAATCTCTTACTTAATTAATCTCTGTAGATTTCCTTTAACAGGAAAAGAGCAGTATCTTCCGAGACCCTGCAAAAAAAGAAAAAAAAAAACTTGAGAATTTTTAACATGTCAGAGTGCTGAATCTGTTAGAAAGACAATGTGTTATTTGCCAACAGGGACGTTTAATTATTATTACTATTCATTCAAAATAGTTCCCCGATTCTGATTGGCTAAAAGCACACGCATAATTCATCATAACCAGCTACTGATGACCAAATTTGGAAGAAATTTTGCGTTTAATGAACCGATGACGTCAAAAGTGCAGCATTCTTGCAGGTTAATGCACCGTTAACAGAGAAAGCCTGGGGACGAGGTTCAGTTGTTTTGGTTGTGACAACAAAAACGGCGGACATTTCACTCGTTTTAAGAGTAAGAACTAGGCGAAATAATGGCTAAAAACATGGCAAGAACAGCAAGAAGACAACTCGAAGGGCGACATCTTCTATTTGGAAAATATTTGCGGAGCTGAACAACCCTAAACATGCACTATCGAAGATGTACTTAACATCGATGGATCGATGGAGGTAAGCATGTTTAAGCAAGGAATTATTTTGAATGAATAATAAAAAATTATTGAATTCGGCTTTCATATCATATGAAGAATTATGGAGATCTCCTACGGCCTCGACGGATAACACCCTCCTCGATCTCCATAATTCTTCAAAAGTTTTCAGCCTCATTCATTAATTCACTAATACATTAATCAGGCTTTACTAAGCTTGTACAGTTTTATGTTGTTTTTCGGAAAAGCCTAAAAGCTTAAAGGTTTTGATTATAATTAGCAGTTCTAGTGAAGGCTGTTTGACAATTGATATAGTCCCAACAAGCTTTGAGCTATAAACCATATCGTGTTTAAATAAAGGATATGTATGTATATGTATGTATGTAAAGGATTGTATCGCGACCTACCAATAGCAAACGTGACTGCTGAGTGCAAACAAATATTCATTCAAACTTTCAATTGGTTTTTCTTGAAGTACGTAGTCAATCCGTTGACCGCCATTTAGGCGGCCCACTTTGTCTGGTTCAGCAGGAGGAACTGAGGGAGACTCTAGTGAGGAAAAAAGAACAAAAACCAATCATACGGTTACTATAAAGCAAGGACTGACCCTTTTCCCGCGTAATAAGGTATCTTACTGTCAAGCTCCAAAAACCGTGAACACCTGAAAAATTTCAGGAATGTTGATTGTGTACTGCCCAATTACAATAAAGTTTAGGATACGCAAGCTAACCTCAAAACCACAAACTAATTACCGTTGCTGTTTGCGGTTTAGTTATCTCGCGCCTTATTGGCTAATTTCCCGCAACACAATAACATTTCCTAAATATTTCTCGTGTTCACGGTTTTGTAAGTTTCACAATAAATCAAATATCAAAAAAATGCGAGTGACTTTTTTATGCCAACAGAGATTTGTCGAGGAACATATATAAGAAAACGTTCCAACGTTTAAAGGAGGTAACTATAAAACTCATGAGGAGATGTCATCAGTAGTAATTTTCATTTGTCAGGGATACAAACCATTGGAATTGACGGGCTACAGGATAATTTGGCTAAAAATAAGCGGAATGCCACTGGGGAAAAAAAGTTGAAGCGAATACTTTTTTCTTCTTTCAAAACCAGCACGTACAATACCACGTTTTCAAGTGAATCGGTGAAAAGGCAATTTGTCACCTTTCACAATCCTTTTGAGTTTTGATTGTCTTTTTCCTTTTCTTTCCTTTTTCGCGCCGAAAGACAAAGTAAATAGTTTCATTTCAATTGTAAAGGACTGTCCTCTTAACAGAACAGGAGTAGCATTTCAAATGCTTCAGCGATGTTTTCACTGTTGCCACGGTTGCAAACACTTCCTCGTGGTGACGCTGCCCCTTTAAAGAAGCCTCTACAGTTGCTATGGTTACCTTTCACCTCGGTAGCCTCCTCGACGGCTGCGTCTTTTACATCCGAGCCCTGCGATGAATGAGCTCGTGCAAACTCATTGATCGACTCCCATGTCTTACGCGCCGACTCAAGGAGACTTTGCTTAAGATTGGCTCCCAGTCTACTCAGATTTTCTCGCAGCTCTGAAAGAGGGGGATATCACATAACAGTTACTAAAATTTAATTCTGTCGAATCGCTTAATCCAGAATCGTAGATAGAAAGGAATAATAAGCTCTTGTTTTCAGGTTGCTTTCAATGGAATAGAGCAGTTACATACAACAAAACTAAAAGCAAATTGCAGGGTTTTTTGACGATGTGTCTCTTTTTACAATAAGCAGTCAATACTTCTAAATTCACACACTTTCATACTAAATTTATAGACCATTTAATTTTTTTTTTCTTTCAATTTTATTTTGGAGTTGAAGTGTGATTGTCTATTTATTTTCACAAATTAAACTAAATTGTAATACACATTTCTGCCCAGCAGGCTTACGTTACGCCCTTGATCACTCTTTCCGTCAAAGTCCTCCCCTCAAATAAATATTTTAAGCCGCGACATTACCTTCTAATGCAATAACTGCTCAAGAGCGACTCCGTGTAATCAACAAGACGTGGAAATGGTAAAAAAATGACCTCTACTCGAACATTAAGTCCGACTGATTGAAGAATATTTTTCAAACCAAATTTTTTCTTGCCTGTTGTCGTCAGTTCGCGGCTCTTATGAACTCATTACTCGGATTTCAGTTATCTAACAATTCAACTTTATTCACGCGTCGAAATCGGGCTCGCTTCCTTTTCTCTTCAGCATGGGTTACAAGCATATAAATAGATAGACTGATTGGCTAAAAAGAAAAGTCAAATATCCCAATCAGAAATTTGCTCAAAAGATGAATAGATCTCGAAAAGCATCTACTTACACTAGGGTGAATCTTCTCACCGTTTTCAGTTCTAGTCGCAAATCTTAACTTCTACTCGACTGCTAGAAAAACCGAATTTTAAATCTCGCGCTCGCTTTTAAACCAACCCTACAGTGAGTTTAAGGGACGCGTTGCTATTGGCAGCCGATTTAATTCATAACATTGCCTAAATGCCTAAAATGGGTGAAAATCAAGCAAATTTCGAGCCATTTTTCCACCTCTAGTTGATAATAGAGAGCTGAAGCTACAACGACAGCGGTGGCAGTGAAACAAACGAATTTGCGTCCTCTCAATCTTTATCGCGGCTATTTGGACCTGCTCAATTTGTCAAATGTAGGCCATTTTTCTTTGAGTTGGATTCTAGTAAAAGGCCTTTATCCAGGTTTAAAAAGATAAAGAAAAATTTCGTCTTCGTGAGTTCACGTCCTCCATAAAACGTTGCATTAGGAGGTTTCACGTCGTAGTCGTACAGTGGACGTCAAAGAAATGTACTAAAAAACATGTGCAGAAATGTTGTCTTGCTTATAAAACCAACTGTTTGTTTTTGTTTTTGTTTTTTTTGTTTTGTTTTTTCGACGTTGGCGTTGTCGTCGTAGTCGTCGTTGTGGTTGATTAAGCTCCTAATTTCACGGAGCCGCTCTTCAATTTAATTCTCTAATACCATTACCAATATGCATTCGCTTCCTTCCCTTGTGATGTGGCATCAGAACAGGACTGCAGTGGGAAGACGGGTTTACAAGTGGTTCAATTCGGTATGCCTGAAACAATTAAGATAGATCATATTCAAAAAGACACTCGAGTAAATAGTAAGTGACCTATTTTCGTAATAAACTCCACCCGACTCATACTGAAAGCCCCCTCCCCACCTCAAACCTCACTTTTTTTTAAAAAAAACAGTAGACGACGATTTAAATTGTTTAGCCTTTGCTACATACCGTAAATGATCTTATAGACGCGGCGTTTATTTAATTCTAGGGGTCTAAAGGTTGATTTCTACTGAAGCGTTTTTGGCTACGCACGTTAGAGCGGTTTTCATTTGAGTATCGTAAAACCAAAACCAAAGTAATTACTCTAGCCAATCACAAAGGACACAGACAATACAGTGAACCAATTAAAACTCGAAGTAATTACATGTAGCTGACGCAAAGCGCGGGAAAATGCATGCGAGCGTGACACAATTGGTTTTGGTTTTCCTTCTGATTGGATAAAAAAGTGGCGCGAATCTTTTAAGCCAATCACGTAGCGTAGTAAACGCAAAACCAATTACCTTTCGACACTCAAATGAAAACCGCTCTAACGCGCGTAAATTTTCATCACGTAAATAAAATAGAGGCAAGATAAAAGGTGAGCGAGAGTCTACTTTTACGCTTATACGAGCGACCTTTCATACATTGCTTCTATTTCATTTGCGAAAGTAAATTTTAAGCACGTAGGCACAAGATCTTAGATTATGGCCATGATCCACTGGCTTGTCTAAAAAACGTTTGCACGGATGTGCTTCTGATTCTAGGATACGTTTAAATTCTTTCCTCGTCAAATTCTGACGCCTTGTTACAAGTGACGCAACAGAGAGAGGGGCGTATAATCCAAATTTAACATCGTAGAGGGGAAGTTAACTAGATTATTTATGGTAAGCGTAAATATAGGAGAGCAGTATCTGCTCCGTTAAGGCCTAGGCCCAACGGCGGCTTTTCATGAGACGAACAAGACTCAATTTGGGTCGACCTAAATTAAGTTAAGATCGTCTGTTGGGTCAGACGTCGAACCAATCACATGAATCAGACCAAAAAGCAATTTTAATAAATTTTCTCCCGAACGCGGCTAACTATACATTATTATACAAATTTTTAATTTCTTAGTTTAGTTCGTCGCATGTGAAGATCGACGTTTTTTTCCGACGACGAAATTCAGACGTGCTGTATGCGTCTGAAGCAGACGTGACCTTTGAACTGACTTACCACAGGGTCAAATGGATGAAAAATGTTGAAAAGACGAGGGCAAGTTGGTAGCTGGAAGTCCAGGCCAATTTCATCGACACCTCTGTGTAAACAAACGTCCATCAGTCCAAAAAAAAGAAATAGAGGATCAAAATAAACGGAAATAAAGTATGTAGGGCTCATTCAGCTTCATGTTGAAATTTGAATGAAATAAGTACAAAGAAAAGGCAGTGATTTTGTTACCTCTGCGTCCTGCGTCCCTGACGCATAAAAATCCACAAAGACGCACAAAGGTTCATGGCACGCGTCCAGTAGGACGAAAAGATCGATCGGTCTGAAGATTTTTTTGTAGAATATCCTGTTCGTGTGATTTCTGCGGCTGTTCTTGTGGCTGCTTTTTAACGACGCATATTTCTTTTTTAATAGTCTTCGTTGTGCTTTACAAAAGAATATCTTTTATCTGTCTGGTCACATAAAGGCCCAAGCATTTTCAATTTACTGAGGACTCATTTGGGCCATTTATACGAGGAAAAATAAGACGCAAACTTTCCGTATAAACGGCACATTACGTCTAAAATAAGACGCGGCTTAGCTAAGATGCGTCTTATTTTAGAACAGCCATTAACACCTGTTCTTAGATAGAACGCGTCTTAGCTAAGACGAGAAAAACGTCGTATAAATGACCTTCGCGTCTTACATAAGACGTGAACGCATAGTACGCATGCGTTAATTTTTGACGCGCCACGTTGGATTGCCGTTGCTACGGGCAACATTCACATGAAAACGAGTCAAGAACAGAAATAAGACGCGAACCATTTGTACGAGCTGTTCTCGTCTTAGATAAGACATGCTCGTATAAATGGTACAGTTCGCGTCTTACTTACGATGCGTCTTACGTAAGACGCGTCTTATTTTTCCTCGTACAAATGGCCCCATTGTTTTTTTGAACTGGGACTCAATGATTCTGGAGTGGGATTCAATGTTTGTTCACAAGATGAGTCCCATGAAGGACTCACCATAACTATTTGTCACAAAATCACTGAAAAGGTCATCGCAGTTGAAGACGCAACTTACGATGTTGCGAAAAGAAAGCCTGAAAAATTCAGGCTTGCCGGGATTTGAACCCTGCTCTCTGCGATACCGGTGCAGCACTCGTACCCAATTGAGCTAAATATAGCAAGCCAACTGAGAGCTGGTCATTAAGGGCCTGCTTACATGGAGGTAAGGGACCCCCGGGGGGGGGGGGCACTTTAGGAATTTCTGGGGGGGGATGTGCCGCTGGGACCCTGGAACCCTTAACCTATACCAGAGCTAGTTCAGCTGAGTTTTGCTACCCTATACTAGAGTAAACTCCCCAAATCCCCCTATCCTAGAGTAGCTGTTTCCCCAGTCTAGATAAAATCTTCAAACAACTGATCAGTTTCTTGAAAAATGATACCCTATTCTAGACCCAAACGCTCTGATTTATGTACCCTATCCTAGAGTAAACTGCTTGAAAACCATACCCTTCACAGCGGCACATACCTATATAGCCCATATATGGCAGTACCCCCCCCCGGGAAGGGACCCCGGGTAGGTAAGGTAACCCGCCTGTCCATATAATGTCTCATTTTTGAACACGTTTACATGATAAGTGGGTTGACCCGCCACATGTTATCTCACCTGTCTGGGGTTCCCCACCTCCATGTAAACAGGCCCTAAATTGCTTTGCATTTCCTTCTTCATCCCGCAGTTCCAATACTGGAAAATTCATTTATTCCTCATTTCATCTTTATGTTTCCCGGGTATATTATAAACCAATTTAATTACCAGCTCCTGGCTTGCTTGCAAGCCCATTTGGTTAGAGCGTTGCACCGGTATCGCGGAGGTCGGGGCTAGAATCCCGGCAGGCGTGAATATTTTCAAGAGATTTCTTTTCGAAACTGCATAACGTGCGTCTCAAACTGCGATGCTTTTCTCCGCAGTTCCAATATATGAAATTCAACGATTGGTCATTTCACTTACCGTACAGTTAAAAACATTCCTATAGGTGACCCGAGAGCAAACAAAGCATAAAAGCTAAGACCCAGTTGTGGGTACTCTACATAAGGTTGGCCTGTTCCTGCGAGTCCTTGTTGATAGACCACCTCAACACTTGCAACAGATGCCAAAGACAATGACTTGGCCACTCCTTGGTCTGTGCCAGAACTATCGTGTTCTTCCCTATTTGTGATTTTTGCCTCTTGGTTTTCGGCTTTCGCTTTAGCTCTTGCCTCATCTCTCGCCTTTTTTCTCTCTTCTCTTTCGAGTTTCCTTTTTTCCTGCGAGTGGAACAAGAGTGGAATAAATAAACTGGTGCTCCTAGAGAGCAGCAATTTACTCCCTAAAAGTAAAAAAAAATGTGAATGCTTGACCCTTTAAGCCCCAGTATCCACATATAAATTCTCCAAACTGATCTCCATACATTTCCTTTTAAGAATTAGTTGAGAGAATTTAATAAAACATCAAGGCATTTTCTCTAGCGCCCACCTCGACTAAGCGCCCATCCTAAAGGCAGAAAAAGTTAATAGGCGCCCAACCTCGAATAAGCGCCCACCTCCTCCCCCTCAAACACAAATAAGAGATAATAAGAGACCCTCTCGAAGACGGAGGTTTTTTTTTCCAGAGTATTTTACAGATACCTTGCTTTGTTACATCTTCGCGTTTTGTTTTTACCATTTATTGCTTTGTTGCAAAATAAACATACTACACTTGATGAAAATGGTGAAAATTTAATAAGCGCCCACCTCGAATTAGCGCCCACTCTCAAGGTCCAAAACTTTAATAAGCGCCCAGGGCGGTTAATCGAATAAATACGGTATTTGTTTGACACAAAGCTGTGGTTTTGTCATTCACGAGTAATTTCTCAAGTTGCATAGCGAATAATTTCGCGTATTTGGCATTAAAGAGATGAACTCGCCAGCCATGACACAACCCCTTATAACGTTTCATGTAAAGTATGTAAAGTACCAATAATTGAATGAAGATGAGTATGAAGTACTAAAGGCCTTGGTGGAAAACACCCTGTAAAGTCTGCATAATTCTTCATATCATACGAACGCCAAATCCAATAATTGGTCAGTATTGTTGATTGTTTAATTATTCATTCAAAATATTTCCAAGTTTAAAACATGCTTACCTCTACGTTACGTCCCTGTCTTCAAAACATTTGATTCTTACCCGGCAATTCCAGCATATTATCCATCGAGTGTTAGCATTTTTGTCTATTCTTGCAGTTTATAAGGCAGTAGTTCGGTTGTCTCGTCTTTGCATAGGGTGTGAGATCTCCCGCCATTTTCTCCCGCTCTCCCTACCAAAACAGCTGAGCCACCGCACCGTAAGTCCCCTTTTCTTTCGATATCAATGCGATTGACGTAAATATAATGATATCGGCAGTCATTTAGTGTTTCAAATTTTGGACATGAAGAATTAGCCGCAGAACTTTATACCGATCGAAAACGAAGAAGTATTTCGAATGAATAATAAAAACTTGTCCGCCGAGTCTCTATGAAACGGTTGTCGTCCGACTTTTTCGAGGAGTCCATGGGCAGGAAAATTTATAACTAACTTCACTGTAACTTCCGCGTCGTTTTGAATGGAATTTGGCCAATACCGTTTATTTGTCATTAATTAGTGTAAACCGCCCTTGGGGTTTGAATTTTTAAAGTGTCATTTCAAATAAATGACACACCTTAAAATTCTCATAATCCGTAAAAGTGATCAACATTTATCCGCTAAAATATTAACATAAGAACAACAAACCATATTTAGTTTTTGATTCCTCAAGTATCCCATTAGTTTCTTTCTTGGTCCCATAGGAATTCCCATTTCCTTCATATCTTCCTCGCCACACAGTAGCTAACAGAAACAAAAACAACGAAAAATTTAAAACGTGTCTGCAATACGATGTAAAGGTATCACATAAATAAATAAAAGATAAACAGTCCTATCAAGTTATAGAGAGCTTAAGCAACAGGAAGGCAGACACAACAGTGACGGAAAACCGTTTGGGCGTGACAAACGTGACAAGGCTATTACTTGCGGGTTTTGCCGCGATCCTCAACTAACATTACTGTGTTCTGGTCTTTTACAAAAAGATATGTTTAAATGACAGGTGAAGTTTGTCACGCTTATAACACAAGCTTTTGCCGTCTTTCCTCTGCATTCCTATTGAGAAAGTTCACCAGTAAATCAAACACGACACCCGGTGTTTCACGCCGGCACCATAACCTAGCCTGGGGGATACTCACTCTTACTGCCTATATGAGAGGTCCTGCCCGAAAGGGGTACCAGGTATACATGTATGCGGAAAGCCGGGAAAGGGTGGGAAAATCTGTCATTTCGGTCTGTAAAAAGGCCCAAAAGGCTAACAGACGCATTTTACGGCTGTGAAAAAATCGAAAATACGTTCTGGTTTTGTGATTTCGACATATTTTAAAAACAGTCAATTTATGACAGTTGAAAGGGATGCAAAGCTCTAAACGGGGTACCACTTGTCAATAGACAAAAAACAAAAAGGGTACCCTCCTGTCAAAAATAGACAAGTATATAAAAGTCTGAGGGATTGGACCTCAGGGCGGAGCCTTTGTAATTTAGTAATTTAAGTAATTTAGTAATTTAGATGCGACATCCAAATCGCCGTCAAGTACTCACGTCTATTGTCTTCTTAACCTACAGTCAGGTGGTCCTTCCTCCCTCCTGTTTGGGAGACGAGGGGAAAAGTTCTTTTTCCCGGAAAAAAAAGAAAACGACTGGTCGCAGGTTATTGTCCTCTCTCCATGAATGAGAAGTACGTATCAAAAGTTTGAAAAGTGTGTATCAAATTTATTTGGGAACTCCTCAGTACGAGAGAGGTGCGAGAAACCCCACACAAATTTCACCATAAGGGACAAACTTACAAAAGTCTCCATGTCCATTTCTTCTGATTCAAACAAGTCAACGTATTCAGGAAGACCAAGCTGTGTTAGCGCGTCTGAAAGGGCTGGGTACGACTCATCATCATCATCTTCATCGGAATTATTTTCTAACTCTTTTGGAATGTCACTTTTACCAGGGCTATCCTTAAGGGACGATATTTCACTAAAAAGAAAAGGTATCAATCTTAATAAATCCTTACCATGTTCATCTTTAAATAGGCCACTTTCGATGGGGAGCTAACTAGAAAATCTAACAGTTTATTTAGCTACCCAGCTCGCACTTTTTTTTCTCTTGTATTACATAGTTATAACCTAGCACAAATTTCAGTTATGTAAAGTTAGTATAGGTAATAGCATGATTTGTAGTGATATTTGGTATAAATACCACGAGTGATATTTCTTTCAAAATTGTTCTACGTAACTTCACGAGCCATTAGGTGAGTGAAATTTCAGACAATTTTGAAATATCAAGAGTGGTATTTATGCCAAATATCACGTACAAATCATGCTATTATTTGTTTATACTACTTCTCGCAAAAGGCTTGTAATTTTCACATGTAGGTATTTCAAATTAACCTGAAATACCACTGCTCAAAGCCAATCAAATTGCAGAAATTTGTCATGTAGTACATAAAAAACTACTTTTGCTATTACTAAATTAAAACTCAGCATAATAGCGCGTCTTGTCACGAATAGAAAATGTACTTCTCCACTGGAATCTAATCGGTTCCACTGGATCACCTCCACTTGGTAGGACTTTTCACCACTAGACCTCTGATTTTCCAGTGGAGAGCTAAGGGATACGACTAGAGTCTAGTTGACAGTATTGGACAACCCTCTGTCGTTAAGAACACAAAGAAGGAAAGTGAAATGGTTTGGTATTTCTTTGGTGTTTATATAATAAATAGAACATTACAAGGCCGCTTGGAGATACGAAATTTCTCTTCTCGTGTTGAAAAAATATTTTTCAACACTTAAAGAGGAATTTCGTATCTCCGCGCGGGCATGTAATATCCTCTATTTAATGATTTTTGTTTTTTGTTTTCTCCAGAGCTAGGACTCGCTCGACGCGCCATCATACTGAATTGAAGTGTTCTATTAGTAGGTATATATGATTGAATAATCTAAGCCATTAACTAGGTAAATAGTAAGCTGACGCTTTCATCCACTTCATTTAGAAGATTGGATTTATGACGGACCATTATCAGCAAACAAAAACCGGCAGTAACGAATAACCCCTTGATTCCAAGGTCACGTTAAAGCTAGATTATTGGTCACCGCAGTGGACGAAATCCCATGGTGTTAGTATGAATGAAACCTCTTCAGCAGTAATATCACATGGTACTATTTATTTAGTACGTAGTTATAATTTGTGAGTCTGTGGACGAAATCCTATGGTGTTACCATTCAAATGAAACCGCTTCAGCAGTACTTTCACATGGTACTATTTATTTCAGTCTGTATATATTTAGTATGTAGTTCTAACCGTTAGACTCCAACGGTTAGAGTCTGTGGACGAAACCAATTTAATACGCCATGCTACTCCGGTTATGATTCTGATGGTTTATTTTCAAGGGGTCGTAAGTACTCTAGCACCCTACGAAAAGAGCCTCCTTTCCTCTTGTTGAGTGAGGACGAGAAGGGGAGCCTCTGCCTGAATCACGTCAAACCTTCTTGACTAGTCAATCTTGTTCTCTCTCGTCAAACTGGCTTTTCGAGTGCAAGCATCCGTTTATTGATAAACCGATGGCCATAACCGAGCCCGCCGTGCGAGCACACGGTTATTGGGCCTGCAGGGTTCGAAACTATCTCCTAGTAACATGCCGTGCGTGCTCAACAAAGGTCTAACGCAGTTTAACGCGATTTATGCAGAGTCTTTCTCGAGTACGACAAAAACGAGCAAACCAAAGAAAGGCTCCTCTGGCAGATGGGCACTCTTGCAATTCCCATATCTACTCTAACTCCTTGACTCTAGGGCAAAATAATATTTTATGATCGTGTGAGTGTCAGAATTGTTTAACTAGAATTATTTAGCAAGTATAGTAACAAGAGATAGATAAACGGCAAGAGGAAGAGAGCATACCTTGCTTGTTCTACTACATTATTCTTAGTTGGAGGGCTTCCACCTCGCTGGTCCTTCTAAAGTAAAAAAAAGAAAAGAAACAAATGAAACAAAAAGCTTTAAGGAAACGCCTAAGACATATTACAGAGCCATAGAACAAGGAATGTGGTACTAAGTAACTTGAAGAGGACGTGTCACGGGGTTATTGGTAATTTTGTCCCCGAGTCATTTCGCCCCGGTTACCTAGCTGCCTTTTCTAGAACGAGCAATATTAACTTTGAAGCGCGCTTGTTTTGATTTCTGGCTTATAGAAGGAGGAATATTACATTTAAAGCGCGCTTGTTTTGGTTTATGGCTTAAAGAACGAGGAATATTACATTTGAAGGGCGCTTGTTTTACTTTCTGGCTTATAGAACGAGGAATACTACATTTGAAGCACGCTAAAAGGCCCGATGATGGGGGGCTAAGTAACCAGCGTGAAATGAACGGTTATCTGTCATCGCTGTCTAGTTCATTTCATTAATAATGCCAATGACATGTCCTTACTCGCCATGAAAATTGAGAAATTACTCGTGAATGAAAAAGTCACAGCTCCTCGTCAAACAAATACGTCTCTCAAGCATTATTTCAAACGTTACAAACAAGATTTGACAACCTGTTAGGCAAACAAGTTTTCAAAAACCACAGTCTCAATCCTTCAGGTTTGTCCATCCGTGCCTCCTTCTTTATTTGCTGTGTTAATAACACCTTCTTTTAACGCTTTGAATGGTTATCTTTATGTCTCACCCAATTTGGTGATAGTACCCACTTTGATTTGCTAAATGCTGTGACACAGCTCCTTTTTAATAATTTTTTAAGTTCGTCTTGGAGTTTTTTGGGAAACCCGGCTGGACCGTGCACAACGGCTATCATTTTGGTTCGTTGTCTTGAAATTTTCACGGGTGTTGCAGAGAATCAACCTAATATTAATGAAATTTTAGTTTCAGTGAATCAACCTTATATTAATGATAGTTTCAGAAATTACTATATCTAGCCGGATTATTGAAAACGTTACCGCGAAAACGACCTTTTGTGTCCAACAGTTTATTTACGGCCAAAAATCTCCAAAGTAGCTATTATAAAACTAAGAGTGAAGCCATTGCTTTTTTTTCTCTCTTCTCTTCCTTTCCCTCTCCTCGCTCCCTCTTTTTCTCCTTTCCTTTTCCTTCGTTACTGTCATTTTGGAGCTTATAGGGCCCAAGAAACCTGCCTTTTGCATAGTTATTAGGGCCTGTTTACATGGAGTGGGGGACCCCGGTCTAGTGGGGTTGGTTTCTTTTGTTTTCACGCTCTGGGGTACACAAAACAAAAGAAACTTACCCCACTAGACCGGGGTCCCCCACTCCATGTAAACAGGGTCTTAGAGGAGACTGGTTATGAAAAGCGGCAAACATCAATGATAAAAACAACAGTGCTGCAGTTTATGTTGGAAGTACCGTGAAAGTGCACAATCCTTTGTTTTCTGTTGGCAAATTGTTACGGAATAAATTAATGCAACGTTTTTATTGGTCAATACAATCAAAATGATAGGAATTCTTTTGAACGTTGTGCACTTTCAGGTCCACAAAAACATATAACAAAGGAGTCTGACGGGTTTCATAACCATTCCACTCAATTAACTATGGCCTTTTGAGGCCTTTTCACTCAAAAGGCGGCAAATTTCGTTTCGTGAAGATTATGTGATGAGGTTTGAAAAGAATTCTGTCGAGCCGTTCCAGAGATATACAGAAAAGCGCTAAAAGTAAAAATTTAGAATGAAGTTGCACTTAGACAGGAGGTGAGAAAACAGGTTAGTTTTCAGGATCGCAAGAAAAAAAATATCCCAAAATTTCCTAGCATTGAAATATGATATTAAGCACCACTCTCGCGTTACTTGAGATTAATTTGAGTCATTCAGAACTTTTTTATTACACAATTTAACACGACTATTGAAAATATAAGGTTTGAAATATATTTACGTTTTATTTGAATTCAAACACACAGAATTTTTTACTTCTCAAGGGGTTATTTGCCAAACACCACACTTAAGGTTCCTGGTGTCGGATTTTCAGTAGCAGGTCTAGATCGCGCAATATTCGGCTTTTATCAATTTCAAAGTTTTTTGTTTATTGTTGTCATAGTGATGTCGATTTTACTAAAAACTGCATTTTGACAAACTTCAATTCATAGCCAATCACTGGTGAAAATTTTATAGCGATCGGACAAGGATAAAATCAGTTTTAAGGCGATTGAAAAATATCGGTATGGCCTCGAGAAAACTGTATCGAAACACCTTAACTGGTATATTTTTAAAATTTCCCTAAATTACAAATACCTGATGAAGGAGTATGTCAAAGAGAATGCTTGAACCTGAAAAGCAAAATTATTACACAACTGTTTGATTCTCAGACTGATCAAAGTATAAGGGGCACCCAAGAACCATTTTCTGCAAAATATCTGTTCGAAGAAGCAATTTCTGCCTAGAATTTTCTATAGGTTCAGGAAGGCTAAAAGTTTCTAGATAATCGTTTCATTCATGTACGACTTTCGAGACTTATCTAAGAAATCCCCTGCTATTTTCTAAAGTTGAATTTTATAGATGACGTTTACCTATTACTCGTACAAAAAGGAAACTTAAAATTTCGGATACGAAAATGTGATGGAGAAACTTTCTCATCTTCGTTAAGTTATAAATTGCATCTATAATTTTCCGGGAAATAATGCTTAAGCGCTTGTCAATTCAGAAAGGCTCAAGTTGTCCTAGGATGACCGGACAGATACAAATTTTATAGCCCTGCTTAGAATGCATATAGAGATCTAAAAGCTTTGGATAGCCTAAAAATCTAAAAAGCGTTTTTGATGTATTTAAAAGGAAAATGTCGTTCGGTGCCCCTAAAGCATGAGAAAAATGCGATAATTGTACTACCAAAGCTCCAACTCGTTACATGGCAGCATGGAATGCTTTAAAAGAAGGCGTGGGTAGTGTACCAGAATTTTTCTCTGGGAATCTGGGTCAGCCAGTCTTATAATGCAACTTCAAACGGGAGCACTGGAAACGACTGGAAAGAGTTAATACTACACGGGTGATCAACAAAGCAACCTCAAAACAAAATCTTTCCCTGCAAAATTTCATGTTGGTAATTTTTAGATCAAACATGTTGGAAGTTTTTCCTCGGCCAAAAACCAGCGACAAAAAAGTAAATAAAACAAAAAACTTTTAAAGAAATGATGGTATATCTAGATAATATGGTGTTGAGTTAATAAAACATGAACTGAGTAATCAGAAAGTCAATAACGCGCAACAAGCTTGAATAGTCCAGTTTCTAATTAAAAATTACCGCTGAATACAAACATTAACAACACATTCATACAGGGTTAGCCTCGACGTAAAGTAAAATATTCAGAAATTCTGGCAAGTAAGTGTTTGAAATTTGAATATACACAATAGACAGAGTAGTAGTAGTAGTAGTATGAACAGGTCTTTTTCTCGTTGGATTTTGTGAATATATTACTTCAGATGGAGGCTACGGCTGTAAAAAATATGCCTTCACTTCTTCTTTAATTCAGCGATCATAACGAACTCGAAAATGGACTATTGCAGGCCATTTTTTAACACCTTAGGTCATTTCTCAGTTTGCAAAACTCTCACTTCCAAAACGAGGTTAAGTCCAAAACCTTTCTTGTAAAAATGAGGTTTGTTCGCATGACAATAAATAAACATTTTCATAGCAATAGCTTCGCACTTGACCTCGCTTTGAAACAAAAACTTTGGGCAGCTCGAAAATGGCCCATTCTGTCGGCCAGTGGATGCTCAACAGTGTCAATGGACCAAAATAAAAGAACATTAATACCTTTGCCAGTGATAAGATCAAAAGAGTCGACAAAGAAAGGAAAATTAAGAGAATGCCATTTCCTACCTAAGCTATGCCCACACACTGAATATTTGCCATTAAACATGGGATTCCTTATCTTGAAGATTTCCAGCAATCGCTTGATTTCTTCGCCAACTGTGTTAACAATGTTCTGTTCACGGAAAGGGAAAACGTTAAACGAAAGTAATGAAAAGATGAATTGGACATTCTGGAATTTGCGTGAAGAGAGTGTTAGCGCCCTTTTAGCATTATACAAATGAAGTAACTGACAGTACAAGAAGCCCGAGCTCATATGACTATCGGCAATCTTGCGTAACCTTCGAAATATAAGGAGTTTTATGGGGGAGAAACTACTGCTTCGGTAAGCTACAATGTGAAAGGATTCCAATATCTAATAGGCTGACCTCACTTAAATTGAATGTTTCTTCTTTCCTGAGAGGTTTCCAATTTATTTAAATCCTTTCACATTTGTAGGAAACAGAAACAATCGTTTTCCTCCCATACAAACCCTAATATTTCGAAGGTTTAGCAACAATGCAGATGGTCAGACACTGTATTTCCAGCTTGGGCTACCTGTGCTGACAGATGGGGATTTGGGAAATTTTTATGATATAATTACATTATGAATTAGTAAGATCCAAAATTTACAAGTCCCAGAAGAAAAACGGAATTTCTAGTTAATGCCGGAGTATCATCATTTGCACATTGAAAAATAAATTACTGACACAAATCTCCCTTAAATATTGTTCTAAGCCTGTGAGATTTTGAAATGCAACTTTCCCTCGTCAAAAATTATAATAATGGGCACCCCGAAAAAGCCTCTAACGTCGAACTTTTAGTCATAAGAACCAAACTTAAATGTTAAGGCGCTCTTTTCGGCGGTGTAGACGCATTTTCTCCAATGGTCCTCATCAAAACTTGGTAAAAAAACCCGTTGAAGCAAGGTTCTACTGAGAACTACCCTTACAGCTGTACGTGTGGATAAAACTTACTTGACAGTATGTTGGGCTAGTGTAAAATAGTATGTCCAAAAGGGTACTGTTGGTGAACTCTCGAAGACGCCGTATGCTTCCCAAAGAAATGGACTGAAGTCTTCTACAGAGGTAAAGTACAAATAGCAACTTTGACTTTTGATTGAGAAAAGGACTCTTAAATGAATACCGCCGTAAACTAATTTATGCAGTTAATGTAGGGTATTTAATTCATGAGGGCGAATACCTGCCATCTATTACTGCAACGATCATAATTTCTTCGTCTGACAATAAAACCCGTCTCGCTCAATACAGAAACAGTACTCTCGATTTGCAGTATTTTCAATGTAAAAAACGTTTAATAGATTTTTTTATAATGAGGGTCTTGTACACGCGTGTAGCGGAACACCATGGGTAATGAAATTTGTTTATCCATCCATCCAAGAAATTTTGGTTTCGCCAAAATCGTCCGTCCGTACGTTCGTCCACCCATACGTATGTACGTAAGTCTGCCCTTCATGTTAGCGGATGTGAAATATCACGCTTACTAGCTTGAAGTCCAAGGTATACAATCTGTGTTTAACTCAGACATCCATGTTAATTGACAGCTTTCAAACCAGTGTATCTGCTGACCAGTATAACATGACTGTATCGCCGGCTCAGGTTTAAAACTCATTCAGGTCACGAGTTTTTTTGTTTTTGTTTTTTCTTCTTCTTCTTCTTCTTATAGTTCTACGCTCACAAGTTCTGATTCATTGTTTCTAATTGATTGCAAGCTCAAGTCCATTTCAGTTTGTTTCTTATTTATGTCAAAAGTCGAATTACTATAGAAAGACTTTTCTAAAAAATCCCAAGAGAACTTCGCTTTTGACCCTTGCTAAATCTATATCATTTTTACAAAAACTTAATCTTTCTTTGACTTCACTAAATACATTGCCTGTGCCAAGCTCAAAGATAATTATGTAGAGCATGTTTTTCGCATCACTTCAGGTTTCATAATCGCTGCATTTCTATCTTGGAGCCTGTGACAGGCTACTAAAGTCACTGATTGAAACAGAGCTGAGAAAGTATGAATGCAATATCAAGGCTTATCACTAGGTTGACTTGACTTACTTATCTACACCTGTTGAGTCATTATGAAGTCTAGAGTGCCACTGTACTGGTAAGAACTCCACCCTGCCGATGGCACGTCCCCTAGATAACTCATCATGGTGGTCAGCCAACATTTGGAGACTCATTCTACGAAAATCATCAACTGGAACAGAATGAAACATTACCAGACAGGCTTAAAAACACCTCATTAGATGATAACTATGTTGTGTGTACAGCTGCTGTACTAGAAAACTATGATCAACATTTAGAGTTCTCACCACGTATTCAGCTAAACAGCCTTAACGAAAATGGTTAGTTAACACCATTAGAACTTGTATAATCAATTTTGTGGTGAGTGGCATTTCCTAAAAAAGGATGCCTCATATCTTTGAATAAGGTTTGAGAGAGGAAGCCGGGAGTCAACAGAGGGAACTTAATAATTAAGGCCCTTATTACAATTAAATTATCTTCCATCAAACTTCACCTCACATTAACATTTTGCAAAATTAGATCTATCTAAATGTAATTTAGGCAAAGTTAACCTCAAAGCAAGGCTGGTCAGCAGTTTTCCCAACAATGCTGGGGGTGACCCCATGCTTTTAGCAGGGGCACCTTGTGACTTGTATAAATTATGCAGTTGCTTGCTTGCGGTTCTTCACAAAGGGTATTTGCTAAGGCCTTGTTGCTTGCTTGCCATTTCTGTGTAGTGTTTTCTCCCAGCCCTTCCTCCCTCTCGCAGCAACTTTCACACTTAATGTTTCTTCAGTCTTGATAATAATGTTGGATACATCTAATTTCTCATGGCTAATAGTTCACTAAAATTGAGTGACTAACATCTGCCTCAAAATAAAAGACAAATGAAGCATTAAGTTAAGCTGAGTATCAGATACTCACCACATTCAACAATACTCCTAAAGTTCAAGTCTGCAATAGGACCAATCCCATGAACAACAAATATTAGGTGATCAATCTGAGCCGGTTCTCCTAAAAAAGAGCATTAGCAACAAAATAATCATTTATTGTACCACAAAACTGTTTAATTATTTATTGTGTTATTGCAATGCTGTCACTGAAGGCCAGGGGTTGAGAGCAGGGGATTTCCTCTGGCTTGTACAAGCATGGACTCCAACTACTCTCACAAAAAAATACTAGGAAAGTAGAACCAAAACAACTTCCCAAAAGTAACAAAACCGAAAAAAGTACATGTCTATTAAATTCATTTTTGGACACCACTGCATGTACACAGGAAATTTTGCTGAAAAATGTCTTTTGAAGCCACATTATAGTTGACCCGTTTCCTGTTTATTGTCTGGCTAAAGAGTGAAAACTGACTGAAATGCTGTATATAGTTCAAGCAGAACCCTGCCTTTTAGACTCCCTCACCAATTACCTTTCACTTTCGTTCCTCCCTACTTCTTTTGCTCTTCTTGGCCCTGTTTTTTTTTTGTTTGTTTTGTTGTTGTTGTTGTTGTTGTTGCTGTTTTTGTTGGGCATTTACTACATGTAGGTTTTTTGGAAAACTTTTAAAATCCTTGGATTGTTTTGAAAGAGGTGTAATGATTATTTGCAGACTGTGCAATCTCAAGGGTTCAATGTAAGAACAATTCAGAACAATAGTAATTTCTTTACTAAGTTTTTCAGTACTAATGCCATTAATTCACGAAGCAAAATTAAAAAACCACAAATTGCCTCTCAAGTTTCAACTGTAAGCCCTCAATTTATTGAAATACATGGAAATGCTACGAATAATCACCCACCATCATCAATTTCGTCTTCAATATCTGCTATTCCTCGTCTCACAACCCGTGGCCTTGCTACAGAGTCCTCTCCACTCCAGTTTTCATTCTCATTATTGGGCACAAAATGCACCATAACATTAGCATTATGCATCATAATGTACTCTCCAGCAGATAATTCAACTCTACGTGGCCACTTATTCTCACGAGAAGCCAAAAGAAAATCTGCCTGAAAAAGGATCAAAACATAGTTTGATAGAAAGGTACTGCGTGTCAAGCATTGCCATAGCGAATTTTTTTTTTCCTTGCAACTTGCCATGCAATTTTGATGTGCCATGTTGAACATTTGCTGGAGGTGTAGCCCAAGGTTCTCATTGTTGTAAGAGCTCCGCAAGAATCATTCTGATGAGTACAATGTAGAACTTGATTCGCATAGTACAATGCTTGCTGTAACACAAATTTTACCAGGCATTTTCATTTATGATCAAAGAGTGCAAACTGCTATATTAAACACAATGTAAGTCCACCATGAAACTTGTGTTACAACAAAAAAGCAAGACAGGTTGCAATTACAATCAAGCTTCATTAATGATGTAAGAGGATCTTTAACGCAGAATAAAATAATTATTGAATAATTAACAATCAATTATTAGTGGACTAGGTTGAGCAAAATATTGTGATTGTCAGTGGCGAGCAGATCAATAATTACACTGACAAATCAGGATATTTTGCAATAACTGAGTTCTATATTATTGTTTTATAAATCGATCACCGAGTTTTAATAATTAATATCTTTGGGAAGCAAAGAAATCTGCCATTTTCACGCAAGAGCAATCGCAAGAAGGAGAAACGGTGGTTTCATTTACACATGGGCGAAATATTATTTGCAGTCGAACACAAATGGAAGACATTGGCCATGAGCAGACCATTATTTGTAGGCAGCTTTTTGCAGGTCATGTGTTAGGCTCTAAGCCAATGAAAACGAAGAAAAATTAGCATTGAATGATAATTTAAAACATTATTATAATAACAATAATAAGATGATAATGATGACAAATGATTTTCTGATAGTGGATGCACAGAGGAGTTCTTTTCTTACTATGTCCCAGATCTAACTGGAATTTAGGCATGAATTTGTTGCTTTCAAAAAGAGGGAGAGAACAAGGACAACAAACTTCAAGTCCATCCTGGGCTCTCACCACTATTACTACACCACTCTTGCCCCCAGGTACACCAAGAAGAATCATTTCATTATCAAAATCATGGTAATTGATAAATGAAGAATGAAGGTAAATTTTAAGCTTGATGAAGAAATGAGAAAAGATGTGATCGTCATGTCACGAGTTCGGGACAAAGAAAAAATCTAAATCCCCAACAGCAATTGAAGCTGTGGCCCTCCACACACTGGTTGGATGCTCCAACCACTGAGCTACAAAGGACTTGTGGCAAGCTAGGCCACAAACAAGGTTCATGTATGACATGCATCCTGTGTATACTGCAAGGATCAGCAATGTCAAAAGCATCATGTGTGTGACAAATAACTTACAATGATGTTAAATTTTTAAGCAGTGCACAGAAGGTCATAGGTTCAATTCCTGTCAGGGACTCAGATTTTTTTTCTTTTTCCCTTGCTCAAGACATTATGATCACAGCTTTTCTCATCATGGTAGTCATTGACAGAACATATTTAGACAAGATCGGAAATAGAAATGGACAGTGTTTAATCTAGGCCACATTTTTGTGTCAATGATGCAGAATATTCGTCAAAATGAAATTATTGTGGAATCTTACTGATGCAAAAAAGGTTACCTCATATACAAGTACTTCCAAACATGTGGTCAATATTAAGAAAATTAAAAAGATATGCTTACTAGCCTGAAATAAGTGTGCCAAATGACTGTCATTTCAGACTACACACTTATGAGTAGTTTTTGTGTCAGGCCTTTCACGCTGTACAGAGAAATACTGGAGCGTACGTTTCGAGGTTTTGCATATGTTGCTTTGCTGATAAATTCACACTTTATTTGTTGAATTTGTTCTTTTTCTTTATTCATTATGAAACAACAACAAAAGCTTAGTTCATTTTTAACGTAAAAGAGAATGGCAGTTGAACCTGAAAAGCATGAAGTTGAGCTGGATAAGGATGGCAGTGAAGCTGGAGAAGTCAGTTTGATGATGTCAGTTGTGCAAAGTTTCAATATCATAGTTTGACCCAGACCACTTTTTGAAATAACCCAATTTAAAATGCCATGTGGGACATATCACCCACTTTGACTAATTTCTAGATTGAACAATGACTTGGTACTGTATACCTTACCTCAAGCCTTGCTGCCATGTCTTCCATATAAGGAACAAGCTTAGACTCTCCATCTCCTTTACAAAACCAAGTGCACCTTCGCACTACTGATACAGCTTCTTCCCAATAAAGGGGGTAGCGCAACCTCTTATCAAGGTTGACATCATACCGTCCACCATCAGTGGCAACGATTCTGTCTCCACTTGCTGAAGAACTTTTCAATGCCTGCTCCAGGTTCTCAGAGTCTATAAAAGAGAATGGTACCCACACAGAAGCTCCCTTGCGGTAGAACCAGTGTGGTTGGACAGGTTCAAGAACAGGTGCAGGCCCACTTTGCACTTGCTGAGATGAGGGGACATTGTAATGAGACAGAGGTTGAGGAGATGTATGTGGTTGAGATGACCCTGTTGATTGTGTAGTACTTGATGTGCTTGGTGTGCTGGGAGGCCCCCTGGCAACAGGCTGGGGCAGAGTCTGGGGCAAGCTGGTCGCAGGCTGGGGTGAGGTTTGGTGTGAAACAGTGGAACCAAAGGACGGGGTATGGGGTGAGTTGCTTACAGGCTGAGGAGGGGACTGGGACCAGCTGGCTGCTGTTGGAGGAAAAGACTGGGGTGGAGTAGTTGATGATCTTGATGGAGTGTATGTCCCAGGTCCCACAGCTGTTAAATTGGCAGTGGGAGTCTGGTATCCCGAAGAAGTGTTCATTACATTTTGAGCTGGTGAAAGGAAGTCATCATGTGCACCAGATGAAGATGAAGACATTGTGAAGAATGGAGAACTCTGATTCCTTTCTTGCAACATCCCTGGGGATTCTTTCTGGCTACGAAAAGGTGTTTGGACCTGCTGTTGTGACGATCCTTGCTGACCAAGAAAGCTCTCTACCTCACCATATTGTTCCAACTCTGCTGTGGCTGAACAGTGAAAGAAAACATACATGTAATCAACTGTGAAAATACATTGCTGGATTGCTGGCTGTTGACCAGCATTGATTCGGGTGCTGAACTACACATGAGCTGAACCAAATGCATAATTTTTAATCATATTTTACAAAAAGGCTTTTTTTTCCTTTTTAATTCATTTTGACTGTATATTAATAAAGAGTGGCATCTAAATCAATTAGCCAGCCTAAAATTACTTAAATTATTGGTTCAGCCTGAACTTGAATTTGATTCAGCTCATGTGAAGTGAGGTGTCTGGAACAGACCTAACAGATTCATTGTCTTGTTTTGTGCTCCAAAGAACTTTGCCTTTATTGAGAACCATTCTAGATAATCTAGGAAACTTGGCACGTCCCCTAACCAGCCCCTCAACTTTAATAGGTGATTAACACCCATTTTTATCCAGTGTTCTTGCTAAATTTTTGCTCTGCAGGTAAGGGACCATTCATGGCCGGTAAGGCAAAAAATATGCCCCAGAATGCCCCAGAGGTGCAATTTCCTGGGAGGGGGAGGGGGAGTGGAGTGAGAGACATGGCCGCACCCTAGAAGGAGCTAAGTTCTTGAAACATCATTCCCTCATTTTAAGACCTCTTTTTCTCAAATCAACGTTTGATCCCAATAATTTTACTCTTTCTTCAATGTTCTCTTCTCAAAATGTGTGGCCCATAAAAAGAAAAGCTGTGTACACCTTAGTACTTGATTGGATCGGATCACAACTTGCATATTTTTTTAAACAACTTACTTAATTTTAGTAAACCATCAAGCAGTTGCAGGCAGTAAGAAGAAGAATTCTCCAATCTCTGATGCCTAATGAACACCCTGTGTATCATTCCAAAAAATATCCATACCTCCCTCACAGTTGATCAATGGAATTTCTGATGGGGAGGAGAGTGGGGATTAAAAAGCCGAAATTTCTAAAGGGTTAGGGACGTCCATGTGCATTTGAATGGATGTTACTAATTTGCAAACAAATATTCAAACTTTTCAACTGGTTTGTCAAATGCTTCAAAGGGATTTTTGAAAGTATTTGAACGGACAGTAGTGAAACGGTAAACGGCTATCCCTTTGAAGACATCGAGTTAGCTTGCCATGCGTTTGATTCACTTTATTTGCTTTACACAAACTTGAAGAGATCGTTTTATAGATAAGCCACATCCTCGATTTTTAGCTTAACATTTTTTAAGCAAACAGGCAAGTCCTACACATGAGCCCCTAGGGAGACCAACTTTGCACTCAAGGCATATAAAAATATTGTTTTAGTTGAAATGACCTTAATCAAGGGTGCTATATGTACGTTTGAAATATTGCCTTCAAAAAACATCAAAAATGTATCAGCTATAATGTGCGGTTCCAGAAAATATCCATACCCCACCACAGAGGGAATTTCACCTAGGATTCCCCCACCTCCCTGGATTTTCCATATTTGTGAGGAACTGATGACCCACCTCCCCCCCTACCCCTCCAGAATTTCCACAGTATAAGACAAAGACCCCCCAATCCCTCTGGAAAAGTTTATTTTCACAAAAAAAGATTATCAAAGTAAAGAACGACGCCGTTTGTGGGTATGCAATGGTTTTCATTTAATTTCATTGAGAGGTCTTGAATTAGAACACAATAAACTACCTACAAAGCAACCTTTGTTTACCTTGATATGCAAACTTATGATTTTTTTTTTCCAAATGGCGGGAAGCCGTCTCCACGGCCATAATGTTGACACGTCAAACTTTCAACCACAAAATTAAGGGGAAACGAAAAGGAGAATAAAAATTCTAGATTCTGAAATCGTTACATCATATACCTTCTGCTTCTTGAAGCAAGACTTTCACTGGTGTACAGTTTTTCGATCGTCTGACGTGATTCTAAGAAAGGTAGCTAGTCACCAGTGTTTTTTGTACTGGAGCTACATAACCACACCTGTTCTGTGTTTATGTCTCTACGGAGACTGAACAAGTAATGGTGATCAATGGTAGTCTTTACACTAGAGCCTAAATAAGCTAAGAAATATTTCAAGACAAGTAAATTTTAGTTACTTCAAGTAAAATAAAGCTTCACACACAACCGATTCTTTCTTACTTCAGGTTATTTTCCCACGCAACAAAATTAAGATTGATTGACATGTCTCGCCTTTCTCAAAGCTCAAGAAACCGCAAAACTGCAAGTCAGCTAAGTCGGTCATAAGGATGGTTTTCAAGTCACTTGAAACTTTCTTGAATCGTTTCAACTTTCTGACTTTAATGAGATGCAACGCAAAGTTACTTGAGATTTTACTTAGGCCTTCATACACGAATTTTTGGTTAAGTAAAACTTAGCGGCTCTTAAGTCTTACTTAACAGCCTAGTGTAAAGACAACCAATATTACGCATGCAACAAGGCAAGTTTTTGTCGGCCTAACAGGGGCCTAATTCCTTTGGATTCGCATACATAACGCTTTTGGAAGAAAGAAAAGCTGGTTTAGACGAAAAAGCAATCATAAATGATATGCTTAAACTTATGTCTTCAAAAATGATCTACCAGATCAGTAAGTAGCAATTTTCGTACTGAGTTCGAAATTAACCCATTGGAAAGTGATTTTTATCATCCAACCCACGTCGACTCTGGAATTTTCTGGGCCTATGACCCCCCCACCTCCTCAGAATTTCCAATTCCCTCCTTGGTGGGGGTATGGATATTTTCTGGAACCACACAATAAAAGGTGTGTCTTATGACGTGAGCAGTGATTTTTAAGTGGTAAAAAGTGGAAAATTTCTAAATACTACAAATTTAGGCCACTAAAAGAAAATAGGAAATTCCAGACGGGTGGGGGGTTATATAAGACTCCTCTGGAATGAAATTCCAAGGTGGTGGGTGCAGGTGATGTCACAGTGGCTATGCTGTCACGCATATTTTGGGAATAAAATTTGCATTGTTTTGATCCCCAACATGGCTGCTTTCTCACATGGTTGCAAACCAAGAATAGGGGCAAAGGGGGAATTGCTTAGGGATATGGACTGGAATTAGTATAGTTTAATAGGATTAGGCCATTTGCTATCCTCCTCGCCCGTATATCGTAACACCCCCCCCCTCTCCTCCTTCCCCTCAAGCGCTCCTGTACGTCAGGTAACGTTTAGCAACTCTCCTGCCCTTGAAATAAGATAACACTTGTCAAAACTCTCAACCACTCACACCAAAATCACGTAGTCATACCAGCTGAATGCAAAGACAATCTTTGACTACACCGTAAATGACTAAAGAGGAGCGTCACGTGAGGCATTTCTAAGCTCTATGGTGAAAACACTGTTGAAAGTTGGTTCATACCTCTACTCGAGGACGTGGTTGCAGTGGGTTGTAATATCGAGGAAACTGGTGGAGTTTGGGATGCTGGCACGAGAGTTGGTCCAAAATTTAAATTTCCTCCAAAATCTGCCAAGGAAATTCCGTGTAAAGGAGCAGGTTTTTGACCTGAATCAAAGTTCTGTGTCTTCTGTCTGTCCGCCATCTTGGAAAATGGACACGTCAGAAGAATGCGGTGAGATCGCGGGCTCATAGCGCAACCCACGACCACGAGAAACGGACAAGGACGAACTTTGGATGTTCATTGAGTCATGTCCTGATTCGTTCGCGTGCAGACCCTAACTAAGATCCAGGGGGTGTTTCTTGGTCCATACAAATCCTTATATTTTGACATAAAGCTCAAGAGCCTGGGCTCTAGCCTTTGCGCCTGCATAAAACAGCCGATATTAGCCTGCGAAAACAGCCGTTTCTCCTCGCTCTTCGCCGCTGGGGACGTTTCCCGCAAAACGTCCTGTTTTCGCAGGTTAGCTCTTGATGTGCAGAAAAATGGGGCCAAGTTACCTTTTGAAGGCGCTCACTTTATAGGTGTAGCGTCAGTTACAAAAGTGACCGAAGTCACAGGTTACCGGATAACTTCGGGGGTGTCTCACTATCAAGTAATGTAGCACGTTCCGGCTAAATTGCAGTAAGTTGCGGATATCTAAAACCCTATATCAAATTAAGCTTATAAAACAACCGTTTTTTGAAAAAATGCACTGTGGATTTTTTAAGGACTTTTTTAATGCGAAGGTCCGAATCACCTTCGAAGGCTATAACTGGCAGCAATGTTTCCCATAGAGAGAGGATGATATAATTAGCGAGGCAACTGACTGGGTAACGGGTAGTTTTCTTTTATTTCAGGTCTAGTAAATAGGTTAAGCTTTTCGTTTACTGCATTGGCAAATAAATAAGACATTTAATACTTATTTATGATTTTTATTTAGGCTGACCCTGACTACCCTGAGTAAACATGAAGCTCTCCATGACTCAGCTCAGACGAATGGTCGAAGCGTTCTTTTCCATTTGTTGTTATTGTCAAATGCGTATCGCAAAATTTTTAAGAAATTTCTTTCGTTGCTAGTTGATAATCGGTGTCGTTGTTCATTGAGACTCCCTTTCGTCCCTTTCGTCCTTCACTTTGTGCGCTTTTTTGCACTCGTCCACGGACCACAAACAAAACAAATAAAGAAAGTTTCGTTGAGTCGATAACTAAAAGAAAAACATTCCTGTATATCCATCCACCGACCATGGAAATTCCCGAGAAATTGGCGAAAAACACCATAGAGCTGTCAATCAAAAGTGTAACTTTTACCTCCGGTACTAGCGAAAAACCGTCACTTCCCCGCCAATATTCACTCTTTTCCATTTGTTTGTCTTTCTCATGAAGACCACACTAAAACTTTACTATGACCCTAAAGTCAAAATTTTTTAACAAAATTCTCCATCTGAAGGTATCCGGTAACCTTAAAATTTGCGGGCACTGGTGAGCTATTCAAACGAAAACAATTGAAAAAATGTAAAGAAAAGAAACTTGGAAACAAAGCAAAAAGCATTTTATTCAAATGGCTTTCACTGTGTCTTTATTACATAAAAAATCGTCAGGGGTGACGATCTATAAGGTCTATTGTATTTTAAATCTCAATACGAAGGATTTCAGTCGCTCTACCAGTAATACAGTACAAAAAGCTTTCCGAACGCATCACGCGTACTTTGAGATCGCGAGCTGTTTATCACGATCATAACGAATTTTCTTTCGCACTACGCGACTTCGAACAAAAAAGTTACAATTTTTAGACGGTTTAACTAATGGAGCTAAAAGACATCCCTTCTGAAGATAGTTTCCAAGCTACAAGTGAACAACACCAATCGGTGAGTTTTTGTCTACTATATGCCTTTTCCAGTCTTCAAATTTATGTTCGCAAAGATTCATTTTTAAGGCCCCGGTTTCAAAAGTCTTAAGTAGTTATGAATCGTTTCAGTTTAACTCATTTTGCAGTGGTCAAACATACTGAAAAGTTTTGAAGACCGAAGCCAGAGAGTAATTATAAAAAGTACGGGTTTAATTACTAATGCAAATAATGAGCATAAATGAGCATAAATTAAATGCACCACCTTTATTCTGCCTGAATGAGAAAAAGTGAGAAAAGAAATTAAGAAGAAGGAACAATGAATGAAAGCAATGCCCGTCAAGAAGTGATTGTAAAGATGAAATGCCATCAGGGCGTGCTTCCTTTAGTATCAATTCTGGCAAACGTAGGAAAGCAGTACTATATATACGCATCACTCTGTTTAAGCGGTGCCTCTTTCTAACCATGAACACAGTACATCTATACTGACTTTCCTCAGAGGCTATCCCGCCTTTTAAAAACGTGGTTGTAGTTTTAAGACGACCCGAAATAGTCAGTTAAATGCCGGCTTCATCAATTTTGTCGCTCTTTTTTTTTTCTTTTTGCGTCATGTTCGTCGCAAGACATTGGAAATAAAATTCGCTTTTTGCTCCTGCATTGACAACTCTTAAACATACATTTAAACTTCCATTAAGCGGCCGCGTCCACCTTTTGGTCGTGCCTACGAGCTAAGTTTTCCTTTTGTCGTCACCTCTGTTTAGAGGCCACCAAGCGCTTGTTACACTGAGTTTCCCTTTATTTCAAGCTGAATATGGTGAAGGAAAATACAGTCCTGAGATAGAACGTGACACCGGAGATTGTGGCCCAGTAATGCTGCAGCTCCCTTCAAGTATTTGATTCATAATAAAGTGCTGTTTCAGCAAAGATTATGCTCATGCAGTATGATAACTTATGACGAACCTCTTTTGAGCGCCCATCCTCCATTAAGTAGCCGCTACAAGGCTGGTACCTTGAGGGTGGCCAATTAATGGACTTTCAACGGTCAGCAGTCCATAACCGCGGAGCGAGTAACAAGCAGCTTCAGTCACTGTGCACTCTTTTCACGCCATTTTCACCGACCTGTAGTTTATTTTAAGAACAATTTTGCCCGCCAATTTACAACCTCTACCAAGTACTTCAGTCAGATAAAACCTACAGACCTATTAACTTTTTAATGAGTTTTAGTTTTCCTTTTTCACATCGTATACCTCAAATACGCTCACAGACCGAGTGGAGCCTTCCATTTTCGCAGGAAAATGGCTCTAAAACGTATCGCAAAACAATAATAAACCGGTCCGTGAAAACGCCGCGCCCTCGCGTGACATGGGTCTGATATGAATGGGAGATGCCTCGGCTTCGAGTTATCAGGTTCTGATAAAACGTATTCTTTTGACTTAAAAGGTATTATCAATTGACTGCCTTAGCAGTCATTCAGTGGAAATTACTGCACCAACTTGTCGGATCTGCCAAATATCCGGGAATTCCAGTAATAAGGATGTTGGAGAACTCCTTGTTAGCCCCTGTGAATGCAGGGGTAGCCTCGGTTTCGTTCACAAGTTCTGCATGGAGAAGTGGCTGAACATGCGTAATCAGGACACCTGTGAATTATGTCATTTTAAGTTTGTGATCAAGAGGAGGTTTAAGCCCTTTAATGAGGTTGGTTATTGTTTTAATTTTGCATTACTGGAATTTTATTATTATCATCAGTTTTTATGACTTACAGAAAATTCTCACTCGCTTTAGTGATTTTGACATACGTCAGATAAGTAAAAACTAACGATATAAGGGGCCAAAAACTTTCGAAAACTTCCATGTAAAGGTCCATCGAGTGAGCGTGTTCCATTTGACACAAGTTCCATTCGTTTATGCTCTTCTCACTAAAATTCAAAATGGTGGTAAAGATGTCGCCGTGAATAGCCTGGAAGTGGTGATTTCTTGCGAAAACTCGTAAATGGGACATGCTTTCTCACCGGAAAACTTCCAACGGGAAAACAGGACTACTTTTTCAAAATTCCACTTATTCCCGGGAATTTTCCAGTGAAATGTGTGTTCCATTAACATCCCAACCAGAATTTTGTCCCGTCGTTTCGCCGATCTGAACAGGCGCTCTATCGAATCATGAGCTTTGAAAAGGCTCGCACGGGATGGATAAGAGCAAGGAAAGGTCATTTACAGCTGTAACTCTATGTGTGAGGACTGCAAGTGCTTACTGCTAGGAAAACAAAAACGCAGTAATAGAAAAGTTAGTACATGTAGGTAACATCTCTTCTCATATTAAATTTCAGCTTCAATTTGGAAATGTTTTCGGCATGCTAAGCGGCAGTGAAAAGGGCGTGCTTGTCCTGGGACTGATCAACTTTTTTCTCCTGCTACTAGAGATTCCATTTCTCTACTACGTCATCAAAATAACTAGCAGTTTTTTTAACAGTATTCTACACGAAACAGAGGAAGTGACTGACGAGCCGAGAAGCCAGGTTTACAGCCTTCTTCTAGTGCTGCTGTTATTATTTACGTTGGTTTTGTTTGCCTCCTCCCTTACCTTCACCGTGTTTGGTTTCAAGGTTTTTCGCAAGATGTTAGATTTGAGTAGAGAACTCGTTCTGATCATTCCCACGAGGCAATCGAAAGAAAAGGTCGTAGAACTACGACAATTGTAAACGCCTCTCTTTACAACTAGAATGATTGAATCAGAAATCTAAGGCGCTCCAAACTTTTAGCATTTTACGCATCCAGGACGCTCCAGTCTCTGCACCATCAAGACAATGCTTGGTGGCGTGCATGTTGTAGATGCCTTTTTCTTGATTGCTTTAATTGAATTTTGTAAATTATATCATCTCTTTTAAAGTACATGAAATAAATCATACTACCACCTTTTATACCTTTTCCAAGGCATTTTAACACGCGCCTTTTTTTATTTGTGTGTTTCTATTCTTTTCTTATTATTTTATTTTTTTATTTCATTGCTAACCACCACTTTTTTTGGGCAAAAGGTCATTGTGACGTCAACTGCGAGTTCCATGTCTTTCACTTCGCTTTCAAATCATTCATTTTTTCTCGAACGTGCTTGAAGAAAATTCTAAGTCACTCTCCGTTATATGGCGTTAAAAAATTGTCTTTGAATCTTGCAAAATGAATGACTCAATGTATGACATTGAGGGAACACTGAACGCAAACACACAAATTGACCATTTTGAACGATACCATAATGGACCTTGTTTACCCCCAAAAGTTTGCATACCAGTGCATTGCCTTCGATTTCTCTTGGGAGGTTTGTAATACCCAGGAGAAATCGGAAACAAAGGGTATGCATTTTTTTTGTGGGGGGGGGATTAAACAAGGTGCATTATGGTCTCGGTGAAAATAACCAATGACGTTACTACTAGTACACTGACACCAAATCGTACGATACCGTGCAATCATGCATTTTACCGACAAAAAATTCCTTAAATTCAAAAAACTATTATATTTTGTCGTTATAAATAATGTCATCAACGTTGAGGACGTTTTAAATTGTATTGAATGCCGGGTATGCTGAAATACAATTGACTTCATTTTTAACAAAAAAAAACTGTCATGATTTTATAAAAATGCTTTATTTATTAGCGTCATGATCATGTGTGTCGGCAAAGAAGCTCTTTACCCGAAAAGAGAATAGCGTTCTACTTATAGAGGAGGGGTCAGAGTTTGACCCAGAAGGGTGCATTTGGTTCAAAGTCCTCCTACACGTTTCTCACAAAAGAGGCCATTTCTATTATTGTGCAATTAACTATCTTAATTTGCTTTTCTCATCCTATAGTTGTTTTCCCTAGATGTCCTTCTATTTGGTCTGGGTCTTTTTCAGAATCCGCTTTTGTTGTTGTTGTTGTCTTGTTTTTCTCTCGTTCTTCAAATGTTTCTTTTCCCAAGAAATCTGCCACCAACCATTTTGCCCTTTCGCGACAGAATTCAAACCAAAATGATGCGCAACCTTTGATGATGTATGTACGCCTACATTGCGACGCTATTTTTACAAACTGTGGTCGAAGATGTTTCTTGGAGGCGATACAAAAAGACGCTTCAATCAATGACGCATCTAGATAAAAAATATAATGACCCCGCGGGAGTAAGGAAAAAAATTGCCAGTCATTTAAAACGATATCTCTTCATGAAAGCTTCTTCCGCGAAATCTCCTGTAATAAACGTAACTGTAGAGTCCTCCGGGACTTCCTGTGGCCAAAAGTACCCCGTATAAAGTCCCGTCGGATTGAAGAGATATAGCTAGTCCAACCAGACGACTTGATTTAAGTTCCTTGAGGGATGCTCTGGTTGCCCTGTTGAGATGGAACACTTTTCGTGCTGCTGAGACGGACCATAGGCCAAAAGGCTCAAAACATACCTGTCAATGAGAGGTATAGACACATTGAATTACCTTGGGCAATTATTGCTGACTGTTGATAGCTAACTAACTGCCTAACTGAATGTCATGGTGAGAACAGGCTTTTTTCAAAAATACCATAATACTTTTTGTTGTCCTCCCGAAATTTTGCACAAGCATTGTTTTCAATTTCTCTTGGGACTTACAATCACCCCAAGAGAAATCAAAAACTATGCTTATGCAAAATTTTGGAGGGACAGCAAAGAATATTATGGTATTTCTGAAAAAGGCCTACACTTTTTCACTGATTAGGATGATTTAACGAAATTGACTGATTGACATTACTGATTGAGTGACTGACAGGCCACCTGGCTGGCTGACTAACTGACTGTCTGACTGACTGACTGACTGACTGACCGATCGACTGTGTGACCGAATGACGGACTAACTGTTTCACTGTCTGACTAACAGCTGACCAACTGTCTGACTAACCGATTAACTGACTGACTGGCCGACCGAACCGACTGTCCGGGTAATTGTCTGACAGACTGACTGACTTACTGACTGACTTATTATTCACCTGTCCGTCTGGCCAAGCTAACGAATTAAAGTGTAAAAACAGACAGTTGGAAACGCTGCCATGGCGACTGACTAGGTGATTGGCAGAATATTGATTAAGTGACTAACAAGTTGTCTAAGTTTCTGTGGCTACGTTTCACTATTCTACCATTAATGTTTAGGTATGTGAGCCAGTATAAACAATAACCCCTGGGCATCTTCAGCAATTTAAACAAGAACTGTTTATGATCCTCAAAAGATACTTCGAGGATCCTTTTCGACGATCTTGCTTATTTCTTCACTTCAAGGAAAAACACAGTTTGAGAAAATATACAAGGTGTTTTGGGGTTGAAAACAAATTCCACTAATTGCATCCCCGTTTTCTGTAAATAGCCACATGCGCTCTTTTGGTGCCTAGCTAGTCTAATATACGGTCTTGGAGAGTCAGTAGAGCCTTGATTATTTTCTTCTGTTTGTATAGTGGTACCTTTGTTATTGAAGACTCTTTCTCTAGAATTTTTGGTAGGACCTGTACAGCAAAGAATCCACTTTTTAGCATCTTCTTAGCGGAAGGGAAGAGATGATTCACGGCACTAGGAACGAGGTCACTGTATTTTCCGCTGGCCGAGTATTTAACTGTGGCGTTACACTCCTGACCGAGAAACGATGTTGCGGGCGCTGGTGATTGATCTGCGAGAAGGGGCGGTGTACTGTCTGTAAAGGTGAAAATTATTCGTTATATTTAACTGATGATAGGAGTTGCCAAGATGATAAAAAATGACGTAGTTCTGTAGCGGGAAACAAATGTTTCGAAGTCTTAAACGCGCATACAGAGGCATAGTTGCACAGGTGACCTCTGTATCCTTTGGCGTGGGTTGGCTCATGTATCACCGTGGACGTTAAGGCTAGAAAGTCTAAGAAGGAGCATAACAAGCATAGAGATGGTATCTTTGCCTGAATTTTACGCCCTTAAGAGGTCGGAGATACATTTTTCCTTTCGTTGATCACTTCTTTTCGAAACAGGTACAGACAGCAGTTTAAAATAGGGCTGTGTCACGGCTCATGTCTAGTTCATTTTAATAGTACAGTAAAACCCCGCATCTAAGAACCTGAATCAGTTTAAAAACCCGCGTTAGGCTATAATTACCAGTTAAGTCCCCTCTTAATAAGAACCCTTTTAGCCTAAACTTATTTTGAAACCGGGTTCTTATTTAGATATTTTCTAAAAACTATGAAAAACTTCCGCACACTTTAGTAAATAAGATAGGGCAAAACTGATTCAGAATCCTCTTTGGAGACATAGGTGTCTTATCACTCCAACTGCAATGTAACTACCAATGTTTAAAATCAAATAAATTTATTATTGGTACAATTTCAATACATTTACATTATGTTCTGAAGTAGGACTTCAAAGTTCTGGAGGTCAATGCTTCACTTCTTTTTATGGTCATTTTTTCATAACTTCTAATTTGGTATGCAGATTTTATATGAGGAATAAGCTGAACCACTAAATACTCTTCAGAAAGTAAGAACCTATTTAAAACCTAAATAGCCTAAACTTGTGCTAACTACCATTTTTTATAAAAAGAACCGTTTTTGGCTAACTTGGAGAAATTCAGGTTCTTAGTCGCGGGTTATCGCCAATTACGCTTCCTTATGCGCTATGGAACTTAACGCTGACGAAAAATTTACTCAACGAAAAAATCACAGCATCTTTTCCATCAAATATACTTCCCAAGCATTACGTATTACATACAATTAACGTTTAAGAAACAGCAAAAATTAACTGTGAAAAACAGATAGGTTTTCAAAAACCCACAATTTGAACCCGTTTTAATCTTCTTCAAGTTTGTTCAGCGGTGCCTATTTTTGTTTTTGTTGTGTTATTAATACCTTCTTTTAACGTTTTGAGTGATTATTTTTCTCTTTTACTCAATTTCGTGACAGTTCTTACTGTTCAAATTCTGATAAAATTGGTGACAGTCGAGAGCTCCTTTAAGTTTCTAAGTGACTGCTTACATGCATGGACACAAGAGGCCGCTGGACAGTCTCGCGCCTCCATGGAAACACCCACGCAGTGAGCGGAGTCCTCGAGAGTTACACATATTCTGCGGCGATGCTGTTGTCCTTCCTGACAGTACTTCTTCTTACTGCATGCGCTCCAAGGACCCCATAAACCCCATACCGCCAGCAACGGCAGGGCATCTAAGACTTCTGGTGTGGTAGGTAAAGAATAATTCAATAAATAATTCGGTGAAAAATAGATTTAAAACCTTTGGAAAACATCGTCCGAGCTAAATTGCTGTTTCTTTTCTCTCAGAGGGAGGGAAAAAATAAGCAAATCAGTTGACACACGGAAACTATTAAAAGGAAATCCTAAAGTCGAACCTCTTGTAAGCGACCGCGACCAATTTTTGGGCTGACGGTTTTATAATTTTCCATGAAACGATCTACGTTAGTTTGAGAAAAGAGCCGAAATTTTGCGACGCCTTCGGTGGTTTCCCTGCAAAATGACGTATTAGAAACGAGCGCAGAAATTCCCTACTGACAAAGTGTTACTTCCCAGATCTGGGTAGTGCTTCTGATTGGATGTAGCAAATTCTGCGGGGAAAGCAAAGCAGACGTTACGAAATGTCGACTGTTCTGTCCGGCTGGGTCTACGTCCCCAACTGTATTTTCGAACAGCATTTATTACGTACTCTATACCTTCATGTAATAAACTTACCTCCAGCACTACCTTCCCGTTTGACATCTGTCTGTTTTGTTGTCTCGGGTCCCCAGTCAAGGGTTCCAATATCTAATGGTTCATCTAATGCATTACTAAACCACGCTGTAGTGAAGGAAGGATGGAATTCCATGTGGAGGGCGAATAGAGCAAATCCAAGAAGGAGGCAGAGGAATGAAAAGAACTTGATGAGAGGAACAACAGCGGTTCCCTGAAATAAAATAACACAGATTTTGATTATCTTAAAGTTCTTTTTACATATGGCCTATATCACACGATGTGGTTTTCAAAAGGGCACTTTCATTTCATTATAGGGCTGCCTGAGGCACAGCCAAATTATAAAAGGAGCTTCCATCCTTCAACAAAAAAAAGACAAAATGGCGAATGGATCACCCAGAAGGCATTGCATGACCTACCCCCTGCAATAAGGCCGCTCATTTTAATTTCTTGGGAGGGGATGGGTCATTTCCAAAGAGGGGGGGGGGGGAATCTTTTTGGGGGTCTTGTTTTTGGACCCTTTCGATGACCCCGTCACTTTAATGCTTGATTCCAGTCCAGTCCACCTCAGCTCCAGACCTCAGAATTGCTTTTCGTAGGCCCAACATCAAAAGTCTTGTTATTTGATTGATGAATCGCAGGCTTTTTTGTTTCACTAGTGAGCCTCGATGGAATAATTTTAAACATTCTCGCACTATCTTTCGCTTATAATAGGGAAAAGGTGAACGTGTTCGAACCCAAACATTCAAAAACAGATCGTTTCCAGTTACTCCAGGCAGTGTTGACGTTTTTCGGTTTCATTTCAGAACAACATCCCATGGGATATCTCTGGTTAGATCATCACAGAAAGTCCGAAGGATTGTTAGCCGTGATGTTATTGCATGAAATTAACCTGCATTCAATTGTCCGACATGGTGGTATTTTGACTGCTATCAACGTCATTAAGCTTTTTCTCACTGCGATCAACATGTCGTGATCACTAAGGCTAGATGCAACAACATTAGTGAAGATGTAGGTTTCAGAAGCTAATTAGCGGCGCCGACGTTGCACCCCGTCTCGTAACATTAGTGAAGATGACTACCGCACAGGTTGTCGAAACGTCAGTCACTGTCAACAACAACAGTCCTATTCAGGACTACGTTCACCCGGACGATCAAACTCAACCTTTTGAAATAATAGGGAACTTAAGCACCAGGCGTTCTTGGTATCACGGACGCCAACCGGAAGTATTTTATCTGCATGACAGCCACTGCGCATGTCAAGACGTTCTTGAGCTGCAGTCACGGACTTCAAAACGCGAGTTCTCAGGCAACCTCGTCCCCAGGGCTTTTCCCTTAAAAATTTTTTTTAAGGGACAAGCCCTGGGGACGAGGTTGGTTCTCAGGTTGAGAGGAGTATCCGTCATACAAAAGTAGAAATTCTTCGTCCGAAATCATGTTTTCTTCGTAACTTAACGCAAATCTTTGAAAGGCATTTTCAACTGAATTATTCTGTCGGCGTTCGTGATGGTTTCACGTTCTTTCGCTTAATGATTTGCATTTCGCGCGCAAACCGCGTCCCCGATCCAGTTCTGCGCGGCCAGAACTGGATCTGGACCGTTCGTGAATCAAGAACGTCTGGTACTTAAGTTCCATAATGATCTAATGGACGCCCTCTCTCAAATAAACGCCTCCTCCCCCCCCGCCCTTTTATGTTTCTTTTAGACGCCCCTCTCTAATGTATCCGCCGAATGACAGTTGCTCCAAAATACTAGGCAAAAGCGAAAAAGAGATCATTTAGTGCGAGTGTAGATGAGTTCTTCACGCTTTAACAACGCCTGCTCTCAAAATCAGCGCATTCTTCGATCAAAGTCATGGGGACATGTAACAAGTAAAGTCGAAAACTGTTTCCCTGACAAGCTGAGTGTTCCGCAGTTGCACTCTGGTAAAGTAATATTTTGCACTGAATCTCTTTTTTATCTCTGAAGGACAGACAGGGGGAATTAAGTCGCGCGAGATCACCAGGTCCCAGTTGTTAAAAAGGTAGATAGCGCTATCCAGCTTTTGAACAACTGGGGCAAGAACACCAAGTGGCGCGTATTCTTCGAGTCTCTCCTTAGTCTCGCTCTCTTTCACCCTCGCTCCAGGACTTTCGCCTGATCGCGCACTCGCGCATTTTAAACTGAAAATATGGTCATTTTACGGATTACTTACCTGAGTTCTCTTTTCAACAGCCGTTTCCTGGGGGATATAGAATGCAACAATTTCTTCGTCTCGTTTGCTCCATTTTTCTTTCGATTTCATGTCCGCCATTCCAGGTCGTTTTAAACCAACGGGCAACTGCACTTAGTTGCTTTATAACTTTAACAAGATCAGCTAAATCATCCTAAAATCATATACTCAGCTTGAGTAAACGTTTACGTTCTCTGATTCGATTTAAAGGGGCTATTTCACGTTAGTTGCTATATATCTTTTTTACAGATGATGAAAATTTTTAAAGCTTTCAGCCATCTTACAGAAAAACAAACACGGCTATTGCCTTGCATCCTCCCTTTTGTCGTGAAAAAGTGTCGTGCCATTCTCCCGCGACCTCGTATAATTAATGAGACGCTGAGGGTTGAGCCAGGATTGGGCTCAGGGCTTGAATTCCACATGAAAGATCAAGACGGGGATGCTCTTCCACTCGTTTAGGAGAGGGGGGCGGGGTTAATTGCAGGTTATGGTACCGTATCGTTTAGGGCCATTGAAGACGAAACGCCACTATTTCATAGCACACTAATGTCACTTAGGACTGTTCTTCAGGGAATGAAGAAAGTTCATAAAGAAAAGAAAGAAGAAGCATTTAATGACAACGTCTATAGGGACGTCGCGAAAATAAAACACTATGAGCAGCGAGCTTAAGCAACGACGATCGACGAAGGCAAAGGCGACGACAACGACAACGTCAAAAAAGCAAAAGATTTATATCAACAAAACAACAATTTTGCACGTGCATCACGCATTTTTGTACATTTCTTTGCCGTCGTTCCCCGACTACGACGAGAAAGTTTCTAATTTCAAGTTTTGTGGAGGACATGATCACAAGACAACGACTTTCTTTTTTTCGCCCTCAACTTCGATACAGTCCTTTAGACTTCAACTTCAGAAAAATTCGCCAACATTTGACGAATTAGACAAGATGGAATGAGCGCGATAAAGTTTGAAGCAGCGCGAATTCACTTTTTAAGTGATGTTTGTGTAGCCGTCGCCGTTGCTTAAGCCCTCTGCCAAGCAAAAATAAGACGCGCGCAATCTGATCTGGGGAAGGGGGCGGTAGCGGGAAAAAATAGCCCCTGTGCGTTTTTTGCATCACCTTTTACTGCAAGACTTCAGTGCACTATTATCTTGGAGCCTGGAACAGGCTACAAAGCACCTCAAAGTGTTAACAACGAATCTTAATACTTTCAAGGCGAGAAGTGACACGCAGTTAGAATAAAAAAATTAACGGTTTAACATTTTTACAACTAACATTTAAATTGTTCTCAAATTATGCGCACAGTAATTTTCAAGGCGTGATAATAACTCTTCTAGTGGGGCTAATTTAACTCCTTACAGTGGAGTTATTTTTTGGGGAGTTATTTCAACTCTAAAAAGGAGTTTAAAGAACTCTTTTTCAGGAGTAAAAGTGACCCTAGATATTGAGGAGTTAAAATAACCCCAAAAAAGGAGTTATCCTGTACCTAAAATTTTTACTCCACTTTCAGAGTTAAATTAACTCCAGAAAGAGTAAAAAACAACCCATAAAATGACGTAAAAATGACCCCAAATTCGGAGTTAAATTAGGAGTTAAAATAACCACAAAAAAGGGGTTATCCTGTACCATTTTTGGAGTTATAATAACTCCCTAAAAATTACGGTGCGCCTACGGACCAAATTTATTGACCGTTTGACAACTCAAAGCAAACCCGTTAAAAAGGAACCGCCTTTTTGAAGGTAGGTGGCACACAAGATCGGTTTACTTTTCTGACCCTATTATTAATTGCTAGCTTGTTTGTTTGTTTGTTTTTGTGGCGATAATTCGTCGTGTAATTTAGTCATTACAGCGATGAATCTAAAAAATACTTACGATCACCTGCAGATAATTAAATAAAATGGAAAGAGACTTGAACTATCGAATTCAGGTTTGGCTTAAAGATTATTCTGACCATTTTTTTGGCCCGTTTATCGTAAAACGGAAACAATTCAAACTGGAAACGACAAGACCAACCTGAATGGCATTCAACAGTCGGTGGTCTAGTTGATCTTTGTAAAGTTACATTAAAGAATATTAGTTTAGCCGGGAAACGTTTGAGCAAAATGCCACATATGAGGTCTATCATTCTGGCCCCAGTTGTTCTAAAGATGGATAACGCTATCCACCGGATAAGTCACTATCCACTGGATCGCGCAATTGGTTTCCCTGACACTTATCCGTGGGATAGTGATTTATCCGGTGGATAGCGCTATCCAACGTTTGAACAACTGGGGCCTGGTCTATTGTTTTGTAAGTTTCTGTAAAACACCACATGGTTAAACAAAAACAGTCAATGAAGCGCGCAAGTACGATTAAACGTTCGTTCGATGGCAACATGGTTTGTCCGGTATTAGTCCGTCGGGCGCACTGAGTTCCAAAACTAACGCGATTTGACTTCCGGTAAAGTTGAACAGCAGACTCGAATTCAAAAGCTAATAAAATCATGCTATACCTTAAAAGGTAATCAAAGAGAGATTTTTTCAACTGAATCTTGTACGTAATGAGTCTTACTCGATTATATGCTAATTTAGCACGTTTTCCTTCTTAACTACCATGTTTTACCTTCAACAACATCCAGTGTGTCCATAAACAAATCCTGAGATTCGTCAGAGAGAGCAAATTGGAGCGACCAAACCAATTAAACCACACGATATCAGTAAAACACGCCAAGAAAAGCTCAATCTGCTTGCGTTATTTGGCGACCGTTCATGATTTTCATCGATCCCTCGCTTTTTTGTCCCAAAGTACCTGTTTTGAAGTCATCTGCTCTCTCACCATGTGGTCTGAATAATTAACCGTATTGTTTATTTACTGGTAGCATACAAATAACCTGTCAAAAGAATTGCCTTGTCCCTGTACGGCCTTGTCTCAGGCCCTCTCGTTCAATTCACTTCGGTGACGTATCCTTGGCGAACGGGTGGCAAACATCTTCACATCTCCGGTTGGATCACGTGACCCGAAACGCATTGGCCGCGCGGAATAATGACGCCTGGGGATTGGGCAATCGAAAGAAGTCAAAACCAGACCTGACAAGCACTCTCAACCCAGGGCCACAAGTCTTTGTTCACCTGCGCAAGGAGAGAAAAGCTCTGGGGGCAAGACACGCTAAACCACGTGGTGAGTGACCGAGAGGAGAGAACCCTGGGAACGAGATTGCCAACCGCTCCAAATGTCAGGCGTTAGTTTCGCTTACTTAGTGGGATTTCTGGATCAATTTAGGTTTCTGGGAAACTGATACCTACCCCTCCCCTAAGCCAACATTTTGACCTAAGTGAGAAGTAAGTGTTAATGTTCGCTTAGGGGAGGGGTAGGTGGGCAGTTTCCCAGAAACCTACATTGGTCTGGACTTCTATTAAAGAAAGTGGGAACGTCAAAAAGTTATTTCATGTTACAATCATTTCACTTTCCTTAAAATCATGAGTTTATTTCTGTCGAAACTCATAACACCTGGGAAAAATTATTTTAGCAAGTGTAGTTGCAAATACAGTCTGCAGTTTCAGTTTTTAAACAGTTACGACCTTTTAAAGTACGCTTTCAAAACATTAAGTAAATTGAAAACGATAATTTCGGAGAGTGAGAAATATGGACAACTATTTAAGACGTGTCTCATTTTTCCTCGTATAAATGACCCTAATACTGCTTTGCCAATGCTATTAATTATTAATAGCGTTGACTAATCCCAATTAATTTAAACACAGGTTCCACAAACAACTTTACTCCAGGTTTTTCCAAGGGATAGAAACATATCAACAAAAGCTCTTAGTACGAGTTGCTCAGAGGAATGAGTTCAACTTTAAGATTCGCAGCCAATTTAAGTTACTTCTGCCCTTCCTGGTTAAACTTTCCCCGTGACAGAGTCATCCCAAAGGAGCCTGGCAGTAGCTTCCTCTCGGCGGCTTTCATTCGTTTCTCAAACTTAAGTAACAATCGCTGTTCAATTCTCTTCTTCTTAATTTCCTGAATCCATTTGAATTCACCAAGATGTTGTCCACGGGCCATTCTAATGAACTGAGGGTTCTTTTTCCGCGTAGCCTCGTATCTCTCCGCACAGGGGTAACCTTGGTATCTCACACCGCGTCGGCCTTAAAACGTACAACCACTAACATAAGCTACTGGTACAGATAGATAATTTACTAGAAATGCGCATCTCGCAAAGTGAGAACCTGGTTGGGTGACCAGCCACGAATAGCCTGCCGCCACAGCTCCTACTTACGCCAAAAGCATTTTTTGATCGCCAAAACCGCCGCAAAAACAGTCAAAACAACGGACCAAGTTTGGCGCTTGATGGTGTCTCTGTCAACACCATAGATACATAAATACAAGTACATATGGGCCTCCGGAGTTTGTCGCATGATATAGTCCACGCGGGCGACAAATTTATAAACTTCGGCATATAAAAAGCGCTTAAGCAATCAATACAGTTTTGTTTAACAAGTTCAATAACGTTTAGACATAAAGTATATACTCGTAAATTACATCAAATAGAGAAGGCAAACACGCCCTTTGGAGAAGGTAGCCTGGTTAAGGAAATGGAAAACATGCAAGGATTTCAAGTTACTAGGTATGTAGAATTATGCAATCAGAAGGCGGGAGATTGAAGAACTAGAAAGTTCTTTCTTTATCCTTTTGTTTCCCAAAGAAGTAGCCGGGCATAATTCCCGGCCTCCACACCTCAGTGACAGTCCTGACGTAATTGAATTAAATAAATGGTATAAAATAAGAAAATTATAAAAGGTCATGACGAGACTTCTGGGCTCAGCTGTTCGATGGCCGATTAGCACTAGAGAGATTAAGCATCGCGTTTACGGCAAACGGTAAACGTGAGATTCAAGTTGAGAAATGAGCAGATAAAGACAGCTTAAAACAACTGTCGTGAATAGAATTGGCGTGAATCTACCGATTTTCGTGTAGTTATAATGAACAGTAAACGATAAGTAAATGGAAAACTTGGTCACCAGGTACAAATTCACGTTTGCCGTTTGCAAAAAACGCGATACTTAATCGCTCTACTAACACAGACTTAAATTCTAATCCAAGTTTCTTTTTCTTTTGATCAAAAGCAATATGTCGGATAATTTTCTCTATTATTCAATTAGCAATTTGTAGAGCGAACCAAATTAAGCTGAATTTGCTTTTTAAGCTTTCATATCTGCATTCAGCTTGCACTTACCCTGGGTTGTCTGTAACCCAGCTTTGAACAACCGGGCCCAGAAAGTTAAGCCCTGTAGCTTTAGTACTGACCTCTTCTTGTGACACTGGCAGGCAGCAGAGCTGGTTCTCTAATATCAAGTCCAATCCCATTTGGAGTGTGTGCCTTCAGTAACACCAGTGACCCAATCCCTGCAGTCACAGACACCCAACCTATATTGGACAACACCAAATCAGCAGCACAGACATCCCAGCCAATTCCTTGCACCGTGAAGTCCTGTGATTTGAGCTGTGGAAATGTTTCCATGCGTGATTTCCCACCAAGTGGTATCTGTTGGAGAGAACAAATGGCTCAAAACATAAAAATAATTATATTCTCCTAGAGTAGAACTCATAGAGATCCTGAGCTGAGACCATCATATGGTGTGGTTCAATTTTATCCTTGGTTTCCATTGTTCCAAAGTCATTATAAAACATACCCATACTCACAGACAAAGAAAAATTTAAAACATGGATAAACTTAAACCGTGTACACTGTATTTCTAATAAGCAAAATATTACACGTGTATGTTGAAACAATGCATTTTATGGCCAAAAAAGATCTGCAGGCATGCATATCTTACTTGTAGATAGCCATAATACCATGAAAACAAGAGATATGGTACTGCACAACTTATTATGGTTTTTAATGGCAAAAATAGTAAGTAACTGATGTTTGAACAGCAGCATTCAATTTCAAGTTGTCTGTACCAAAACTACATATAACTGAACAAGTGAAACACATACTTTAATAGTAATAATTGGCAGCCTCTAGTCCCAAGCCTCTAATATGTTCTCAGAGGTACACAGTTATATAATATCCCTCATTACAGAGATCACTTGGGCAGTCAATGATTTTTTGTATCTGGCTCCTTCGTATCAACAAAGTCCATGGACAACTTCAAAGATTCAAGTTGAGCATAGCATTGCAAGGTTAACCTCCTATGAGCAACAATGTACTAGGCTAAAACAGAAGCGTCTACCGTCCATAGTGAGGGGGTTGAATTTAGGGGAAAAATGTTTCTGCCTTTCTCAAGAAATGCACCAGAAATCATCTCCTGTGCAGACTATGGCCTGATAGCACACTCACAGCTGCATCCTCCACTCTCCCCACCCCAACCTAAGGACATACTGTCTTACCCCTAGAAGTTCTGTGCCAGCATGTTTGAGGTAAACTTCATCTGCTTGTGTTTCTTTACAAATGTGCATGGGCAAATTAGGGGATGCAAGCACTGTGAAAAATATCGACTGGATGGCCTAAAATGGTTAAACATACACAAAGTAAGGAAAATTAATAAGGAAAGAAAGAGGAAAAAGGCAATCACAGTATAAAGTGTCAAGATTAACAACATTTGGATAACAGGCAATAATAACTACATTGCACATACAAGTAACTGTCTTATATCAAGTATTATTAGCAACTCCACAAAAGGTACATAACATTACACTCACTATCTTATGCAATACACTGCTTAACCATAGCACACAGCTACAGATTAAAGAAATAAGGATGAATAAATATTTTTAAATAACTGGAATGATTACACAAAATCTTATATCAAAATCTTAGGTCAAAGTATTAAATTTCTTGTTATTTTTTTAAGGATCCCTTTCGGCGTTGTTACTTTTTCAGACCACACCACTGACAAAGATTAACCCATTCGCTCCTGGAGATTTTGCCGAAAAACACGTTTTGAAGCTAGTTGAGTGGTTTTCTGGTCACTGTCGTGCTATAAAGAGCTAAAACTTACCACAAACCGGTTAACAGGTCGTACACTTGGCGGCCTTCTGATCCAGATGCAAAATATCAGCTTACGAAGTTCGGGCATGTGCAGAAAGCAAAATTTCGGGTTTAAAAGTGACACAGCAGTCTTGTCTTTTACTTTTCGCTTTCTCTCCTCTCTTCTTTTTTCGCTTTTCTTGCCTCATTTTTTTTTTTCTCTTGCTGGGCATTTAGTAGGCTTCATTTTGGAGGGAAGAGTTTTTAGGAAAGCTTTTAGGATCTTAGGATTAGGTGAAAGGAAAGGTAGGTGGGCAATGGAACAAGACTTTCATGGAGATTTTCAGGTCAATGTCACATGGTTTTTTGCTTCTTTCTCCGGTGTCCTTGACTGAATTGTGCTCATTCTGGTACGGTTTGAAAGATCTCTTCACTCTGCACAAGTTAGGGAAGAAAGTTGTCCTTGACCGTTAAAACTGATGACGTCACAAAGGGTAGAAAGGACCTGGATCCGCATGGGCGGTTGCGGGCAGTTCAGGGGTGAATGGGTTAATGAACTATGAAAAAAGTTATATTTAAATGAATTAATAAATTTATTCAAATGCAGTTACCATCACCTTTGGAATGCTGTCCCACTCATTACAACTGTTTTGTTTGCGCCTTTTTATCTGAATATTTGAAATAAAAAGGGAAACCATTGAAATGAGAAAAGTTTCATAAAACTGGAGAGTTCAAAACTGAAAAGCTATTAGCATTTCCGCAATAGATCATTGACAAGCAACCACCTCTTAAATGGGACCAAATCTTGTAAGTGGGCAGAAGGTCACAAGGCCAGACTAAAAAGCTTAGCTCTTCACTCCAAAATTGCAAGCTACATGTACCGGTAAATGGGAGTATACTTTTTAAAAGTGCATGTGAATTCACAGTAGGCATGAAATGTGGAAGCTGTGTCTTGGATTGACAAGGTATAGCAGCTAATCATTAAAAAGGACAGTGCTCTGATAAAAAAAATGAAATAACCATGAAAACAAGAGATAAGTCAGCTTACATGTATGGTTACTTTTAGTTGATATTATTTTTTTAAGATTGCCCACAATTTTGTAAAGGGACCTTTGTTGAGGTAATTTTGTAAGGGACTGCTTGATTCATGGTCTGATATCTTAATCAGACCTCAGTGAAAATTAATCATAAAAAGGTCGAGTTATCAGGAGTTTGAGTTACTGGGAGTTCAAGTTATCCAGAGTTCAAAGCAGATAAGCAGATGGTTGGGGGAGGGAATGCAATTATCATGTACACTTCACTTGAATAGCCTCCCACAAAGGCATTTTTAGGGGAGTTCGTTTTTCATCCTTCCCCACAAACGCCTGCTCAACCGAAAACAACATTCCTTTTCCACTGTTTTTTTTGCGTGGTAAGCGACCAATCAACAGTCGTAAAATAAAGTGTTGACAGGCTAAACACAGCTAAAACGTGACCCTAGAGTTACTGTTTTCCTTCTTTTCTTTCGTTCGCTAAGGTTATGCAGTGCATCAAGACTAGTATTCTAAAATTTGACTAAATCTTAATTTTGCCACTCTGAATCTAATATTTATTAGAGGTCAGAGAGCTTTCCCAGTGTTTCATGCAGATCAAGTAATTATCAGATTACCCTGAGGTCAAGGTCAACTTTCCAGAATTTGGAAAGTACAATGTGATTGGCTAAGCTTGGGAAAGGAAAGTTGTCTTTGGTTGAGCAGGCATTTGTTGGGAGGGATGAAAAACAAGCTCTCCTAAAAACGCCTGCGTGGGAGGCTACACTTGAAGGGCCAACAAGAGATATAGATTGATATTTTGAAAAAGGAATTAAGCAACAAAGCTTGATCAGATGATGGTGCGCCGACACTGAATTTGAACTGGAGACTGACAAAAAAATAAAGACAAAGAACTGACCCTTTTTTCCAACTTGTCACGCCCTTAAAACATGTATGGTTCGAGTTAGCGAGAGTAAAATTATATTTAAATGACCTGAAGAGAAACAAAAATTACTTTGAGTTAGCGGAAGGTTCGAGTTATCTAAGGTTTGAGTTACCAAGGGTAAAATTACAGTAAACATGTGAAGGAAATTCAGGGGAAATCGACTTAGTTGGCGCAAGGTTTGGGTTAGTGAGTGTTCAAGTTATTGGTAGTCAACTATACATGTACATGTACCATAGAAAAAAAATCTACCTCAAGGTAGTCCACTCTGCCCAGTCCACCTAACAGCAAGGAATGGCCTGGTTTGAGAATAAAAGTCCTGGGTACAAGCCAAAGAGTAGGATTGAAGAGTTTCAGCTCATCTATTGTCAGCAAGCTTGTAATCTGTTGAGATAAGTACCTTTAAATCACATGTAGGACTAATTTCATTAAGTAAAAACTGATGAACAACAGCCAGATGGATGCTTACCTAATCTTAACTTAGATCTCAGACACTTTCAAAACATTTATTTCCAGGGCTGGTATCATTCAACAAAAACACTTTTAGCTATAACTTTGTATCCGCCATTTTAAACAATAGCCCAGACGTAGTCTCTTTAATAGAAGTCTGGAGAGGAACTGCAGGAGGTGAAATTAGAAGGAGGCCCGTCCAAGTAGTTGAACAAAATTTTGAACAGTACTTTATATTCAACCCAATATAATTCACAAGTCATCCAATAAAAGATAGGTTGTGGAAACAATCACTACCTAAAGCAGTCAAGAACAAAATGATCGAGCATTTCCAAGACATAAGTCGTTCCATTTGGCTTTTAATTGCACTGCCTGGATATCAGCATATTTCACCTAAAGAACATGGTTCAGAGATTTTTTTCGTAGATGTTTCTTCCTTCTGAACCAAATTAAGGCCAAATATTATCTGCCATTTTTCTTTTGTATAATGAAAGGTTTCTTCTATTATTTTGACCACGGACACTGACATGATTTTTGAACTAATATACATGTAATGTATTATGTACTCCAAAAAGCAGTCAAAAAAGGACTACAAAATGATTGTTCATTCAGATCAAAGCAATTTTGAGGGGAAAAAAATCAACCAGTCTAAAACTGAACAGACTGGTAGGTCTCAAGGCTGTGCTCTCAGAAAAATATTGAAGCAAGCCCGTAAAATCCAGGGTGCCCAGTATGTGATTTTTCATGAAAAAACTAAGATTTCTTACTGTAGTGATCAAAAAGCAAAAGTAAGTTGCCAGGGGCCACTCAGGGCACTGCAAGAGCTCAGTCCTGCATGGCACTGGAAAAGAGCACAGTTCATCAAACCTGTTTCTCATTGATAACTCCTGGAGTATCATACAGCCAAGTTTGTTTCTTGTTGGGTTGATCCATCACAAAGCTTGGTTGAACAACAGTGATCCCAGAGGATCTATTATCCGGCTCAGAGGGAACAAGAGCTTGTAGATGCTTTCTTCTGTTTTTTCCACGTTCTCTGTAGTCTGTTTCTTCTTTGTCAATGATCTCATTATCAATTTCTATTTCACGATCATCTGAGTACTGCCAAAAGGAATGAAATAATCAGTAAAGAAATCATCTTGTAACCAAAGTATCTAACATGTCTATTGTCATGCCTGAATGAGGGTACCCTGCAAGCAGTACATGGTTTCTCCCAGCCAGAAGCTACACTGAAGGGAGAGAAACCACTGCAAGCAACCATTTTCTTCTTTGATTGAGCCACCTTACAGCACCATGGATGAATAAATCAGGTGAAACCTGTTTAAAAACAAGTTAACACTCTCATGCATTTGCTTACTCTTATAACTTCTGCCTTAATGAGAGCCTGCAGTGAATTTTGTAGTTTCTTTCAGTCTTTATCGCAACTATTCCATTTTAGTCAAATGTAAGCAAACCAATTGGAGTTGAATTCCTAGGGACCAAATCCAGGCTTGTCATTGCTTGTTTACGTCCTCCATAAAATTCGACAGTAGGGATTTTTACAATGTAGTCATGCAAAAATGGCAAAGAAATGTACAGACAAATGTGATGCACATGGAAAGTTGTTGTTTTGCTTATCAAACCTATTGTTTTTTGAAGACCTTGCTGCCATCACTTCATTGGATCTAAAATTACGTAATGTTTCTTGCAAAACAAGAAAGTTATGTCATTTGACGTTTTGACACAGCCATCAAATGGACACATACATGTATGCTCGTTGGAAAAGCAAACGGTTGCTCGCAGTGGTTTCTCTTCCTTCATAGCATATCGTCTGTCCTGGAAAAACCAATGCACTCATGGTAGAATGAGGGCAAACATTGTGCATACAAAATAAACTTTCGACCCCAGAATAAACTTCCTTGCAATAATGAAAATTATAAAAAGAAGCAAAGAGTAAAGAGAATTGAAATTGTGATTCTATTTGCACGGTTCCAAAAAACTAACTTTGCAAACTATTGCTTTTTTCTAATTTTTTTTTCATGAAAGCAAAAATTTTGATTTTTTTTTTATTTTATTATTTTTATCTCCTAACCCTAATTTACAACAACAACGAAAATTAAAAAATCAACTTGAAATAGCAATAAATAATTTTTCCACCTCAGTTAAAAGTTTCAACCGGAAATTTAATTATGACATATAACATACATTTCAAGCCTGCTTAAACCCAGTCTAAGGCATAATATTATTTTTATACCACAAAAAAACCAAAGTTACAACCCCTGCAAACCCTCTCCCCAAAAGTTATCATCGTTACTTTGTTTGTACACAGTAGCGACCGACCATAGAATGTCCTCACAGTGAGCAATCATGACATAAAACTTGTCCCATCTCGCACTGTACATTTTGCGTAACAATAGATGTCTTGTTTTGAGAGAATGCAATGTAAAAAAAACTTGACTATGGTTACTGCTATTGGCAAATTTTATCATTAATTTGTTTGTCCCCTATAATACCGTGTGACATTGCATTTATCCCAATAATCCTCAAACACTTGCAAAATTGGCAGGTATTGTGTATAAGGTCTACTGAGCACTTGTTTGAGTGGCTTTCGTACCCACCTTTTCAACACCTTCTCTTAGTCTCATACAAAGTTTCTTTAACATCCAGTGACTAATAGGGAACCTTAACATTCTTTGCGTAGTGCATGGCCACAGGCTAACAGTTGCCCGCTGCAAGAGGTCAGCTTTCTTATAAACACTGAATAGATCCAACAAAAGATTAAACAAAGACGTCTTGCCAGTGTTACTACACCCAACAAGGTAAATATCACCTTTATGATCCCAATGTTCTAAGATCTTACTCGCTAGCTGTAGGATTCCAAAGCCAGACTTGGCACTCACAAGACAGGTACTCTTGATGTTCGCACCCTCAAGCCCATGAGCTTTACACGTTGTGAAAAGCAGTTTTTGGAGATGTTCCTCTTGCTTGCCAGTATGGCCATCTACAGGAAGCGTGTCTATTTTGTTTCCCACTACAATAATCCGCTTAGCTTCACCCACAGTTTCAAGAAGATTCGGGAAAAGACTTCCAGGCAAGTCTAACAAGTCTACAACATAGAGAATCAAGCCTTTTCTTCTCTGCAAGTGTCTTAAGTACTCATTTATCTCACTGGAAGTTACAGTAATAGGAAAGGGCTTGTTGTAATGTTTTAGATTGAAGCATTTTTGACAGACAAGTGTTCTCGATGTCAAGTCAGAGTTTGAGATCTGATCTCCTGTTACCGGATTCTTAGAGGGGATAACGTAACCCGGCTTCTCGGGATCTTCGCTCTGGAAAACAGCCCCACATCCTGAACATTTAGGAAAAGGTTGTTCATAGATATCTGTAAAGGCCTCAATGTTCAATACCTCTGGTTCAATCGTGTCAATAAGTGCACGTGAAGTCTTATTTGTTTCGTCATGGAACTTTTCCAAATCAAGACCGTCCTCGTATAGAGAAATTTCATCACCTCGTTGACCAAAAGAGGCAATCGTAGCAAGAATTTGACTTTCTTCAACCAAATCTGAATCCTTACCATTTTTATCACCAGAAAGGACAGATGAAGTTTTCAAACATCTGTTGAATATAATATGGTGGCGTGCCAAATTTGCACGCAACTGTAAGGTAACAATTTTACACAAGTTAATCCTGGAACGACTCTGGGACCTAAGGAGCCAACTCATTGTTCCAAGAAAACCACTAGCTCTTCCCACCTGAAACACAGACATCTTTCATCATAAAAGTTTAGTTCGCAACTTTTTCTGTGGTCTGGTCCGCCATGATATGATTATTTGGCTACTGGTAGGTCAATGGTTTGAAACCATATATGATTTTTTAATCATATATGCACAATTATTTAATCATTTTATATTGACCAATAAAAACGTTACATTTTTATTCCGAACAATTGCCACTCGAAGAAAACAAAGGATTGTGCACTTTCACGGTACTTCCAACATAAAACCTGTTGTTTTTATCATTGATGTTTGCCGCTTTTCTAACTCGAACCAAAATCGATTTCCCCTGGATTTCCTTCATGCATTTACTGTAATTTTACCCTCAGTAACTCGAACCTCCCGCTAACTCGAAGTAGTTTTTGTTTCCCCTCAGATCATTTCTACATAATAGGCCACTTGCACTAAGAGGTCACGTGAGCAATGCTTTCTTTAAACAATGAGTTGGAATCTTGCTGATGCCAAAAATTGACAGAGCACATCAAAATAATCCGACACCCGCAATTTGAGAGGAAACGCATTTAAGGGAGATATTTTAGGGCACTTTGATTTTTCAACAGAGTAGTATGATTTGTATTGGACGCCATGGAGGGCATACTCTTGCCCTCCAACATGGCGGCCAAAACTACTTTTTACTTATATCTTGTTCAACATTTGATAGTTACGCTCAGATGTGCTGTAAACGTTACCGGCATCATGTTTTCAACATTTTCCTTGAAGTTTAAGTACAAAATTTCTGTTCAGGAAGAGGTAATTCATAATTTTAAAAATCACATTTTGGTCACGTGACCAGCTACGAACTTACTCATTTAAAGAAAATGGTGCGGATGTGAAAAACCAAATCAGTATTATTTTTGTTTAAGATGTGACCCACTTATCGTTTTCGAAGTCAAAATCATATAACTTTCATTTTCACAAAAACTATGTCACATGACCTCTTAGTGCAAATGGTCTATTTTACCCTCGATAACTCGAACCATGTTTTGCGCCATTAAAAAGTCGGGAAAAAAAAACAGTCTACTGGCGTCCGAAACATTGAATTTTGCATTTCCCATTGACGCGTTGTAGGAATATAGTTCACTAGTGGAGGCTGATGTTTTTTGTCTTAAATCTAACGTGAAACACTTTTACTTCTCAAAACAGTAAAACGCATGCTCTATTTATATTAGGCAATGATTTGTTACGTTACGTTCTGATTGATAATCTAGAAGTATCTTTCAATTTTCACCTAACATTTCTACAGTGGCCGTGATTAAAATGTTCACTGTGCAGTAAAAGCTGCTTTTTTCCTCGTGACTCCCGGCTATTTTCTTCAAGCTCCCGATGAGTTGAACTCCCGATAACTCGAACTTTTTTCGATTTCCCTTGAAGGTTTGAGTTATCGGGAGTCGACTGTACCTACAATGGCCACAAGGCAATTCTGCTGGAAAAATGCAGGCCCAAAACAACCTCGACCCGACGGTCTTCTCGTTTTTCGACATGGAAAGTGAGAAAGCCCTGGGGATTAGGTAAGGCTCAAAATCCTAATTCTCCCATCATTACGCTTCACCTGCGTTTCACCAAAGGCGCCAGTGACCATAAGAATCCGGGGGTTGGGGGTGGAGGTAGTCCCTTATAAGACCTATGAGGAGATTTGCCGCTCTCTGGGCGAGACTCAAGTTTTATTTAACACCTAAGAAATGCCATTCCAAAACGCACAACCAAAAAAGAACTACTACAATTTTATGCATTCTACTTCTCCTTTCCTCATTTCTTTATGCCCAGCCCTAGAACACTAGATGACACTTGTGTGAGTAAAAATATAAGCTTTCCATCCGGAACACCCCAAGTGATACAAAAATCTTCAATTTACACCCCTAAACGAAATGACAAGCATCACCCTGCACCTATGAAGAGAGTCCGCACCCCTATCCCCTTTCCTGAGGGTGTGAATGGAGTTAACCGACTATCGACAAAGGGCGAAAAATACTACTGACTACCGACGAAAAGAAAAAAAATTACCGACTACCGACAGCAAAACTATTAACCGACTACCGACATTATCGACATTTGTTTTCAAAAAGAAGCGTATTTTGTATTTTTTGGAAGTAACCAAATTAAATTTTGACTCATCAGCTGGTCAAACGGAAAGAATGCCCGTTTGTTGATACAAGTACATGTACATTGCTACAACCAATATCAAAATCACAGAAGTCAGACATTGAAAATACTACCCATTTATATATTTTATTGAAAAGGCAAAGGTGAAAAACCGAACATTTCTTGTTTCGACGGACGTCACAAGTCTTTGCTCAAATACACCTCCAAACAAGGGTATTGAATGAGTTTGCAGAGCGTATAAAAATTTCTACGAAGACAATCGTCCCATTCCCAAACCTTCGAGAAATGCTTAGCTTAAGGTTGCTCGATAAGGCTTTTATTGATTTCGCTTAAACTTCACAAACATTGAGACGGCTATTGGAGAAAAAAGCCCCCGTGAACGATTTTGGAAAAACAGTTCCCAGTGGCGAGGTACGCAAGTTGTAAGCTGGTTAAACTAATTGCCGACTTTGGGCAGACCGGTTCAGGTACATAGATTTCAATGAGATCGGAAAGATATTTAGGAGTAAAATCATTGAGCGCTTTGTATGTTAATAATAGCAGCTTAAAAATTATCCTATGTTCAACTGGCAGCCAGTGTCGACTGTATAATACAGGAGTGATACGCTCCTTCTTGGCATCAGCGTGACAATCCTAGCAGCGGCATTCTGAACTTTCTGTAAGCGTTCTATGGGGTAGCCAAGAAGACGGTATAGAACTGAGTTGAAGAAATCAAGTTTAGAGGTTACAAACGCATGGACCAGAGTTTCAGCAGATCGTCGGCTAAGGTACCTTCTAATTTTACTAATATTCCTCAAATGATAGAAACCTTACTTATTGATGTACTGTTCCAAAAACAGTGTCGAATCCAGAGACACCAATACTGCGGGCCTTAGATACCGGAGAGATATTAGGCTGATTTAGCAACAGGACGGGAACGTCAGTTGACGAAGGGAAAGCGGGCGGAAAGGACTAAACACGACTTCCGGTGCTCAATTTACCGCTCTGCCATTGGTCAAGCCAGTTGTTTGATTTGCGCGCGCCGTCGTCGACTGACGTTCCCGTTCTGTTGCTAAATCAGGCTATTAATATCACCACAAACCAGCAGACTTTCTAGTGGTGGCTGAAGACGATGCCGCGCATTCAGTACTAACTTTGATGCCCCAAACAGTTCGGATGGTCCACCTGTCAGTGACAGGGGCACCTAACAGTGGTTTCCTCCTAGAGTATTTTTAGATCTCTAGAAATGCATCCACAGAGGCGTAATAACATTTTTATCTGTTCGGTCATCCTAGGGCAACTTGCATCTTTTCGAACTTACAAAGGCTTCAGTATTATTTGCAAAAAAATTTTACACGCTTTGAAAGTATTCCGAAAGTAAGAATTTTTTTATCCCTCTCTCCATCGTATTTTCGAATCAGAAAACTTCAGGTTTCCTTTTTCTACGAGAACTAATTAACTTCACCTGGGGAGTGAATGCGAAAAATTAAACATTAGAAAATAGTAGGGAATTTGTTAGATAAGCTTCGAAACTCGTACATGAATGAAACGGTCATCTAGAAATGTTTAGCCCTCCTCAAGCTTTAGAAAATTCTAGGCAATTTTTGCCTCTCCGAACAGATATTTTACAGAAAACAGTCGTTGGGTGCGCCCGCTGTGATTTGACTTATCCCACTTGTACAATGGGTTGAACTCATTGTATAAGTATTGTAAACTTTCATGTGAGTTGATCTGAAGTGCATTTTGTTATGGCTCAGCAAACGGCAAGGAGACGGTTCATTCTGTCCTGAGCACTTTTACACAGTGGAGGATTCTCCAAAGCACGCTTATAACAGTTCATTGCATTTTCGTTGTCTCCCTCCACTTCAAAACATGCCCCAAGGAATGTAAAAGCTACTGAGTAAAATGGTGGCAGAATTAGAAACTTGCTTTTGATGGCCCCATCAAGCTTAGAAATGGCTTTCTGTCTCTTCTCAACATTTTGTAGTTTGTTGTAGCATAGATACTGCATGCTATGTAAGAGCACAACAGCAGGGACAGTGCACAGGGGTCTGTACTTGACTTCAAGAAGAAATTCTTCTGGAATGAGGGAGGAATTTTCCAGCATAATGATAAGACAAACTGTGGCCTGTTTCAATTTGTCCACTAAAGTTAAGCCTTTGCCACACATGGAGTCAAGGTAAAAATCATACTCCTCTTTCGAGTAGACCTCCTTTCGTAACTGAATCAAATTTGCAGTCAGTTTTTCCTCAGCTTCATTTAAGACCTGCAATGCCTGGTGGTAGTCCCCTACATTGTAATAAAGGCAAGAAAGTAAAACAGATCCACTTATGGCATCGGATTCACCTCCAATCGAAATATGTTCACAATGCTTTTCCAGTAACTGAGGTCTTTCACCCCCAGAGCCCTCCGTCATATCTGGCAGCGGAAGCATTTGGGCAATCTCTTGGTGTACGGAAGACCGCAGTTTATTGATGACACCCAGAATAAACCCATCAGTTTCCGTTCTGTACAAATTATCTAGATCTCTTGCCGCTGAATATGCCAGCTCGATATCATCAAATGGATAAATGTGCAAAACTCTGAAACAGAGAAAATCCAAATTCGCTTCTCTTTGAGAATGCGTGACAAACTCTGACTGAACAAGAAATGAATCACAGTGTAGAAGTGCCAAGTAGCCCTCAGATTTGTACTTTTTCAACAATGACAAAAGGACATTGTTGTTGTCTTCACATATTCTGCCTCTGAACATGTTATTTTCAGGTATAAAATAATTAGGACAGTTGCAATTCGTAACCCACAAGATCATTTTTTCTAGGCACAGCTCGTAACAGCCAAGAACATTCCCTACATTCCAAACTTGTTCATCGTTGTTTGTCTCATCGATCAGCCAAAACAGACAAGTTTTTAGGAAG